AAGGGATGACAATGTCAATGAAATTATCCCGGTTTAAATGGTACTCCGTACAGTTCTGTTGAAACTATAAATTAGTGTTGATGGATGACATTGTACACCTATGGTGCTCTTTTTGTAAAATAAATGATTCCAACCGCCCAGTAAACTTCCTCCCAGCATTCGTAATTTTTTCAGTATCTGTAGTTAATATTATCAAAATATGTGTGCAATTGTGCATAAAAAAAAGTTTAGTATCTGTATTTTAATATTATCAAAATATGTTTTCATGTTCTTAAATTTAGTGACTTTTTTAAACGAATCAAATTTGATAAATGAATTTTTAAACTAGGTACTTTTAAAAGTACCTAGTTTTAACCCATATTTTGATAGTTTTTGGTAATAATTTATTGCTTAAATACAGTTTCATGAGGGAATTGCATTTTTTAATATTCTAAACCTAAATATACATTAAACTTTTAGTACTGCCTCCATTCCAATTTATAGTGTATATTTACCTATTCACAAGGTCAAACTTCATTCACTTTCTTTCTCTATTTTCATTAGCTATTTGATAAAATAAAGAACTATTGTCACTGCTAGTTTTGTAGATCTTTTGATGTGGTATTTTAATATGTAATTTTTATTTTTTAACTCTATACCATTTGTAATATAAAATGATTTGAAAATAATTTCAGTCAAACATCGTAAATCGAAATAGACACTATAAATTGAAACGAAGGGAGTAATAAAATAAAACTTTTGAGACATCTCTTAAAATTAAATAAATCAGGCCGGGTCACGTCGAGACCCAAATAAGTTAGCCTGTATAGGCTTTCTTAAAACCGGATTTAGCCCAAATATTTTGCCCTTTTCATCGTTCCTGGGCCGGCCGTCTGCAGTGGTGTTTGCTTTATTCTATTTTCCTCCCTTGTACTCTTTTTCGTGGGGAGAATACAGCGAGGGTTTTCGCCGGTAGAAAATCCACCACCGCCGGCGTTTTGCGGCGAGTTCAGCGTGGCCAGGGCGTTCAGTGCGTCGTCAGAGACCAAGTTCAGCTGAGTTCTACGAGGGTAACAACCTTAGATCTAGTAGTTTCATGCTAGGATCTGTTGTTTTGAAGCTGAAATCTGAGTTGTTTCTTCAAGTTGTGTTGAGATAACTCTGGTTGCGTTCGTTTTTGCTATGTTCTTGTTTGTATCTGCAATATATCTGTGTTCTGAGTTCGAATTTGCATGGTTCCTGATTGAAAATGTTGTTTGCTCAGTTCTCTGGACTTTTATTTACGATTTCAAAGTTAATATGAGTGAGTGGATGCCTTTATCTTGTTTCGGATTTGGTGTAAATCCAAGTGCCAAATAGCTAAATTTATTGATTGGCTCACCCCTAGTTTTTACTAGCTACACTTTTTCTAACAATTATGTTATATAGGTTCATTGGTGGGTCTATAGCAAGATTTTTAGTGATATTTTTATAGTTTAGTAATTCTCCCTTCTTGGGTAAATTTCTTTGTTGGTCTTGGGGCTGTTTTGAGGGATAGAGTCTAGTGTTGAAGCTCGTCTTAACCTAGATTATTTATGATAATACTACCAGCAAATCTGGCTATGAAATTGCTGTTGTATGAGTTTTTTAATTATTAATTTTTTTAAATCAGCCAGTTTAGTTGCAAAATAATTTTGTCCATTTCTATAGTCGTTCTTTGCTTCATTTTCTCCATCAGCAACGAGGTGCTTATTTACACGAGGAAACTGCATTTTATGTATAGATACATTATGGAAGCTGCTGCTTTCTTCTTTGAACAAATTAATGATGATTAATATTTAGCATGAAACTTACAAATAAATACTCCGTACTTAGTATGTGCTTTTTGTGTTCTTAAGACATATAAGATTTGGCTGAGTAAAGGGACATTGAGAGAATGGGGAGTGAAGAAGAGAGCACGGTGAAGGAACCGCTGGATCTTATCAGGCTCAGCCTTGACGAGAGAATTTATGTCAAGCTCCGTTCTGACCGTGAACTCCGTGGAAAACTTCATGTATGGTAACATTTCCATGTTTTCAACAATTTTCTATAATTTGTAGATTAAGTTACTCTGCATTGCTTGGAGCTAGAGGAATGTGGTTTTTTTTTTGTCTGTTTTGTTCACAAAGTGTTTTGTGTGTTTATTTATCTGGATTTTTTTGTCTATTTTATTACGGAGTATTTGTCTAGTATTGTTCCCTTGTACTCTTGGTGAGAAAGCTATGATGTGGTAAGTGTATTCTTGTTGAAGAAAGCTGATATGTGGTATGTGTAACGGCAAGTTAGTTATAGAGAGCATAAAACAAGTCTATATAGATTGAGTTTTCAGTGTTATTTTCCTTCCCCTTTTAATCATTTTTTCAGAAACTATTGTGATGGCTATATTCCATTGTGATCATCTATATTGTGTGGTAGGCTAGCAGTTGGCATGTTTTCCATCATCTCCGATGGAGCCAAAATTTCACCATTTTTTGGCTTTGGGGTGTGATGGAATAAATCAAAATGAATCTCTAAACTGTCTGCGCTCCATTAATTAATGAAGTAGCAGTTAGTCAAACAATGCAACTTTCGACGTTGAGCCGGGGGTCTCTTTGGAAACAGCCTCTCTACTTTAGAGTAGGGGTAAGGTCTGCGTACACACACCCTCCCCAGACCCTACTCTTGTGGGATTTAACTGGGTTGTTGTTGTTGTTGTTGTTGTTGTTGTAGGCTAGCAGTTGGCATGAAATTTACAGTGTCAATTAATGATATTATAAAACACCCTCTCCATCCAAGAATTTTCTTCTCACTGTTTAGTCTGTCCCTAACTTTTTTTGGGGGTTGGGGGTGGAGGTCTAGATGTACGCAGCGTTACTCGTGTAATAAAAGCAAACAGAGATGCCATTTTTGTTTGACCGTATGATTTTCCAAACCATTTAAACCAAATTCATTCGTGCAATTAAAATAAAAGATAAATAAAGTCAATACCATCTGTCTTCCACCATGATACTAAGAAATTTGTTGTTCTTCATAGGCTTATGACCAGCACCTTAATATGATTCTTGGAGATGTCGAGGAAATTGTGACAACTATTGAGATTGATGATGAAACATATGAAGAGATAGTTCGGGTATGCTCTTAGCCGTTCTCGCTTTTCTTGTTCTTATTGTTATCAAGGATTTGTATGGCTTGCAACATAGATTGTTTTGTGTGTTTCAGACTACAAAAAGGGTGGTCCCTTTCCTTTTTGTTCGTGGAGATGGCGTGATTTTGGTTTCACCTCCTTTGCGGACTGCTTGATTTACCCCTCCCCCCCCACCACCACCACCAAAATGAGGAAAGATATCGATGACAATGGTCAGTTTGATGTTTTCTTTTTGTTTAAAAATCAACAATGTGGCTTTCTTTCTTTGTCTTTTCTTGATCAAAGCTATGTTGGTGGTGTTGGTATTATTATGTTTTGCTCTGTACTCCCCTCCCATGTCCCCTACATTCATGTATAACTTCTTTCTACTCGTAGTAGATACCGATAGTTTTTCCATGTTCATTTGGCGGTAATGTTTTCTATTGTGTTCAAAATTATCTCTCCTCGCCAATTATATTCTCTTGTTCTTTTGTTGTTTTTTTAATGAACGAATGTGTTCGAAACGAATATATTATGAAACAGGCACCTTATAATCCCGCACGAAATTCTTGAATAAAGAGCACTATTGTCTAAGAATTACGGAGTATCTTCTTGGTTTGACCCGACAAGCAAATTAATGAGAAATGAAAACTATTTCCTTTCCACTTTTACCTTTTGGCGAATAGTACTCCCCGTGTTCACATTAAACTGAAGGGCAATGCTAGGGTACACTAACATGGGATACCCCAAGTGTACACCAAGCCAACACAGACACACACAGACACAAAATGTTTGTGCAACACAGACACTTTGTGACTGTGTGTGTCTGTGTTGGCTTTGGTGTACACTTGGGGTACCCCATGTTGGTGTACCCCTAGCTTAATTCTAAACTGAATACTCACCGAGTCAAATTTTGTTTGTGTTTTTTACCAATTTTTTTATCATTTAATACAAAAATAGTCATTTCACTACTTGTTTCAAATAGTTTTTAATGTGGTTTTTAAAAGTGTAAATATTATTTTTTAAATTCTACCCAATTCTTATACTCCCTCCGTCCCAAAAAGAATGGGACGGTTTGATTTTTTGGAAAATTAAGAGTGGGATATTTTGGTATTGACTTTCTAAAATACCTTTGATGTGATGGGTAAAAGTAGGATGTGATGGAGAGATTATTAGAAAAAAGGTATGATGTGATAGGTAGGGTATGAAAAAGTAAAGGGTAAAAGTGATTTTTTAATAGAAATGTAACGGACTTTACGGGACGCAGTTTTTTCTAAACGTAACAAACTTTTTGGGTCGGATGGAGTATAAATTTAATTAAGATTTATTTTAATCAAACATTGTAAATCGAAAAAAACACTTTAAAATTAGACAGAGGGAGTTAAAAAAGTCAATAGTTTAGATAAACGTGATTAATCGATCTCTACCTTAATTACAATTGCCTCAATGATCTCATTAGAATCTTGTTTCAGACAATTTTAAGATAAACATTGTATATAATCTATGAGAATTCTTAAAATATAAACTACATCTACTAAACGAAAGTTGATTCGGTTGATAAAAAACATGCCATATAGATTTAGGAGGAGAGCAAATCAAATGAAGAGGGGCAACCACTTTTATCGAAATTGGTTGACACACTTTCTTCGTCAAATTGGAAAGAATTGATGGTTCTTATTATTTTCTTCACCAAGGGCAATTATGGTTTAATATTTTTCATCCTACATTATAAATTGTTGCATAATTACACATTTTAACACTACAACTAACCAGACAACTTTATGTGCTCGTATATGAAAATTAATCAATCTTCGCTTGATATTAAAAATTATGGACAATACACCAACTTCATTTAACGACTTTACAAAGTGCAATAGACCAATTAGTAGTCGTATAATTTTTATGAAAAAAACATTAAAGTAACATATACTCTCGTAATCATTTTAAATTTCCATCAAATTCATTAACATATACTCTCGTCAATGAATGTCACAATTTGATTAAAAAAATAAAAAAATGACATTCATTCTCGGACGGAGGTAGTAAAATGTTATTAATAATGGAGTAAATTCTACAAAACACCTAAAATTTAACTACTCTATAAAAAATAATATTTGATATTAAAATCATATGTAAAATAAAAAAAAATATGGTTACGCACATGTGCGACCATATCAATACAAGTTATTATTTACTCAATTACTCCAATTTTTTTATGCCAAAGGCCTTTTTCCATTTGTTAATCTTTACCATAAGTTTTTTGAGGCATTATATTACATTTGAATTAGTGCTGTAAATGGATATCAAAAATTTGATTACTATATGCATTCATATTCATTTATACGGAAAATATCAACATCTATTAAAAGCGGTTATTATCCGTATCAGATTAAATATATCGTATTGATAAACAGATATGAATTTGGTAATCATACATCCGATTCGTTTATAATCTGCTCCACACACATATCCATTTGAGTAACCGTTTATGTGTGTATCCAATTCATTATATATAGTTTTTCATATTTTTTTATATTTTGTTTTTTTAGGACATCTCAAAATATAAGATATTTTATATGCAAAATATACGTGTAGACACATAAAAATATGTGTGCATATGTACTATGTATATCTTTCACCATATGGAGTTGTCGTAGAATTTATGAATTTCAAAAAATAAGAAAATTTACACTGTAACAAATTACTACCTCCGTCTCACTCTCTTTGTTCACTTTTGACTTTTGGAACTGTTCATCTAAGCACTTTGACTCATCAAATTCTCTCAATGTGTAAGCCTAAATATAGTAATGTGTGATCTTGTTTGATTTGTCTTAACATATAGATTATTAATATATAATTTCTATAATTTTTTAATATACAAATTACAAGATAAAATAGATTAAAGAAGTGTATTGGATGGTGTGCCAAAAGGTAAGTGGACAAAAAGAGTAGGACGGAGGGAGTACAATTGAATAAATTATATTTTTACTTTAATTAAAATTAAAGTATTATTCAATTTGACTTTAAAAATTGGAAACAGATACAAATTTATCTGATATCCAACCGGTATCCAGCGGATGCATATATGATTTTGATTTTTAGTATCCATACCTGAATTTGATGCCCGATAAAAATAAATAGATATGAATCGTACATCCGTCTGATTAATATTCGTTTACATTTCTAATTCAAATTAATATGGAGTACATAGTAAGTTCTAGTGAAATATTCTTATCAATAAAAAAAAATAAATTTTAACAACCGGTTCGATCGATGTGAGTCGGGTTTGATTGGATTTTGGGTCCGTCCGGGTGTGGACCTGATAAAGTGATATTGGGCTGACGACTCTTATTAGTAGTCCTCCCCAACCCTACCCGACCCATCGTCTACGAACGACTCCTGCGTGTCGCCTTTCTTCATCATCTTCTCTGCGCTCCGTTGGAATCTCAGTTCATCCCCTCCGTTGACCGTTGGTAAGATCTGTTCTTGTTCAACTTTAATTCCTTAATACTAGTACATATATGTGCTTTAATTGTTTTAATAGCGTCTATTTAACTAATCGTTTTCTAATAATATCATTCAAATTGCAATGTTGTTTTAAATAGCATTTGACCATCGATTATGCAATATGAAATTGTTATTTGACTTGTTTCTGCAGATTTCAGTTTATCTCTAGTGATTTATTTGATTTTAAAAATTCCACCATTTTTTTTAATGATTTGTCCATTGTTCATTCAATGTTTGAAGAACTGCACCTTCTAAGTTCGTTTGTATCATGAAATTTGCCCTTTTGTGATGGATTGAGATCGTTTTAAGCACACAATGCGCGGGGACAAGAGGGTGGTTTTGCCTAGCCATTCTCGAGTCTTCCTGGTGGTTGGTTATGAGTTTTTCAAAGGCTTTCCGTAGTATTAACCTTTTCATTTACGAGGAGAAACATGAGTCAGTGCTCTTCAATAAATTAATGGTTTTCTGGGATGTAAGTTCTATTTGAACAACAGCTCTCACACACGCTTGTTTGATTATCAGGGATAAGAAGATATGGTTGTGGTTCCCCCAATCATAATGTTATAATTCACTTTATTTAATTTGTTTTCATTCTGATATGCTCCCTTGGTCCCAAATTTTAAAAGGTCACTCTCATAGGACATTTTAAAAATGTGTTGAAAGATCAAAGGTGTGGTTGAAATTGATATGGAAGAGAGAAGTCACGATGGCCATGCATTCCCTAGCTAAAAAAGAAAGAAGACTTGTATTTTGGGATGGACCAAATTGGAAAGTGTGATGTTTATTTTGGGACTGAGGGAGCAACTGTTTTTAGTTTACCTTATACTCTATATACAAAAAGAAAATTTCCACTCATACATTAAAATTTTACTTCAAATCCTGATGCATGCTTTATATATGATATATTTTCAAGGGCTTGGATACAACTGAGTGTTATGTAGTGATATGTATGCGGGGAGTGGAAGATTTCAGGGTGGATATTTGGGGTATTTGTGAATATTGGGAGGTTATAACACGTTGGAAAGATCTTTCATCTGCAAAAAATTTAGGCATTTTTAAGAAATTATATTTTAATACAATTTTATTTTCCCTATGGAGCTCATGAGCATGGAGCTTGTGGAGTGCTGCTTAACTCAAGGATTGCTCTTTCCTTTGCTACTGGGATATGTTTTTGAGAGGGGGAATTCAGGGTGGCATTTTGGGTGTTTATATGTACTGGCATGTTTACACACTCGGAAGAGCCTTTCATCTGTAAAATATTAGGCAGGATGAGGAAATCTACTTTTAAATCAAAAATTTATAGCTTTGGAGCATATGAGCATGGAGCTTGTGGAGCGCTGCTCAATTGGAGGGGTTGCTCGTTCGGTTTGCTCTAGAGTTTTTTGATTTTGTGTATAACTCTGCCAGTCAAATACAAACTGATAAGAATTTATATACCAATTTATTACTCTGCAGGCTTTCATGGTTATGGGTTTTCACTTTATTACTGTATTTGTTTAGTCTTGCAGTGACCCCCCACAGTTGACGATGAGTAGTCGTATTTCTCGTTCAATCTATGTGGGAAACCTTCCTGCTGACATCAAAGAATATGAAATTGAAGATTTGTTCCATAAGGTTTTGTTTTCTTTTGCTTTTGTTTTTGAACAATGTACTCCAAATGTCCTATAATGTTTTAATTTTTTATCTACTGAAATTTAAAGTTGCATTTTTTATTGCATGTTTACCTTACTTATTTCAGTATGGGCGTATTTTGGACATCGAACTGAAAATTCCCCCTCGCCCTCCATGCTATTGTTTTGTAGAGGTAAGTAGTTTTTTTGGTTCTTAGATGCTTATTTTTCCGTACTCTCTGGGATTTTCCTTCTTTGTGGGAAGCGTTGACGTACATTTTTTGTTGACATATTATTCGGTGAAAGATATAAATTTGTCAATTTGTAAATATATTTTTAGAGAATTTTTTGCAGTACTTTTATACTCGAAATGATCTTTTCATAAAAATAGGCCCTCTGTACCAAAATACATGCAACACTTGGAGTTTCAGATGTGCCAATGCACAAACTAAATCATTGATATCCTGAATTATGTATTAGTAAAAGTTATAAAAGTTGGCATTATGTAAGTTATATTGTGTTTGAATTACAAAAGATGGTCAAGTGAGAGTCCCGAAAGTGTAAAAAATCTAATGTTGTAACATGCATCTATTTTGGAACAGGGGAGGTATTATGATCTAAGATTAACATGTTTGTCTAGAAAACTCCAAAATGAAAAGTTACATGTTTTATGTGCAATATTTTTGTGCAATAGTTCGATTCATTCGCTTTCCTATATTCCATGCATTTTTGGTTGCTATCTGTTTGATTATTTAAATTTCTGATATGGCTATGGATTTCCACTTGTCCAGTTTGATCACCCCAAAGTTGCAGAGTCTGCTATCAGGGGTCGAGATGGCTACAACTTTGATGGCTGTCGATTGAGGGTAATAAAACTTCATTGTTCATTTTTTGTAGGGCTCTAGCTTAAACTTTCGGATTTCATTGGTACTCTTTTTGTTCAAATGACACAGGTTGAGCTTGCTCATGGTGGTAGAGGCCCCTCATCTTCAAGTGACCGTCGTGGTGGCTATAGTGACCGGGGAAGTGGTGGTGGTGGTGGAGGTGGTGGAGGGCGCCATGGCACTTCTCGCCATTCTGAGTTTCGGGGTACGACAATGACTTCATACATTTGCTTGTAATTTTTAATACATGTTATATAAGCTTTGATAAATCCTCTTTGGCTCTTGCAGTTATTGTGCGAAGTCTTCCAGATTCAGCTTCCTGGCAGGATTTGAAAGTAATTAAATTGATCTTCTATGATTTTTTTTCATGATTTTTTTTCTGCCATGCTAAATATGTCGTTTACAACAACAACAACAACATATTTATGCTAAATATGTCGTTTATGTATTTAAAATGTGTCAGGACCATATGCGAAAAGCGGGTGATGTGTGCTTTGCTGAGGTTTACAATGAGCGTGAAGGTATCTTGCGAAGAACATTTCAACTAAGTTACAATTTTTTATTTTTTGCTGCACTGATCTGCTGGCAATACACATTTGATTTTATGTTGTAAGCAAATGTTCTAATATGTGGCTCAGGCGGCTGCCTAGGTGGTGGCTTACTGTCTCAATTTTAGCCTAGGTGGTGCCTTACCGCTCCAATTTTAACTGCTCCAATTGTAACTTAGGCTGCTCCAAATTTTGCTTAGGTGTCTAGGCTATCCCAAGCATCCCAGGCTGGACTCTCCGGCCCCCATTTCAAAAAAAAATAAAATAAAATTATTATAACTAAATGGACAGTTTTTATTTAAACATTTTTATATTATATCTTAGATAACATTGATTTTCTAACATCTTTGATGGGGCCAAATATGTACCGAGTACTATTTTTTGGCTTTGGGACATTATAGAAATAAGTAGAATGGCTCTTTAAACTGTTTGCGCTTCTTGCGCTTTTTCAACAGTGAAGTAGCTATTAGTCAATGCTCATCAATAGTCATCTAGTAACAGCCGGTCTATGTTATGTTTTAAACGTAGGAGTCAGGCTGCTGGGTTTTTTTATTGAACTATTAATTAAGCAAGTGAGCATTGATTGAACAAAGCAAGTTTATTTATGCAATTTGTTGGGGCGAGTGTTCTATACTTGATTATTTTGTGCTGTGTGCACTTACTGATCTTTTGCCCCTCGATCTGTTTCTTGTATTAGGAACCTATGGTCTGGTTGATTATACAAACTATGAGGATATGAAATATGCTGTAAGCTGTCTCCTCAGTATTCATGTTATCAGTTTTATATATGATGCATGCTTCAAACCACTTGCTGAATTGTAAATGTATGCTCTTCATGTTTCCCAGATTCGGAAACTTGATGATACAGAATTCAAGAACCCATGGGCTAGGACATACATTCGGGTATTTATATTTTATTATTCAGTAATATGCATGTAGAGAATGTGGCAACTGGCAAGGATGTGTAACATTAATGTTACTTGATAGGTGAGAGAATTCAAGCGCAATTCATCAAGGAGCAGGAGCCGCAGTAGGAGCCGCAGCAGGAGCAGAAGCAGGAGCAGGAGCCGCAGCAGGAGTAGAAGCAGGAGCAGGAGCCCAAGGAGGAGGAGGAGCAGGTCAGCCGACAAATCTGATTCAAGGTCGCCACGCTCACACTCTAAGTCTCCTTCACCCATCAAGCCATCACGGTATGTAGCGTTTGTGGGTCGTTAGTTAGTGTTTTTTCCTGTGAGAAACCGGTTTTCCGACTTCTGACTTGGTTGGTTTCTTTGTTTATACTTAATTCCATTTGTAGACCTATATCCAGGTCAAGGTCAAGGTCTAGGTCAGGTTCTAAACCAAGATCAGTTTCGGCTTCTCCTCGTCAGGTAAGATGTTTTTTTATTTTATGTTTCATCTTTTCCTTTTTTACCCTTGGTGTGGTAAGACAAGTACAATGCGCAATGGTCACCATTCCTGATCTTCATGCCATCTCAGGGACAAGGAAACAGTGGCTGATTGTCTGAGGAACAAGACTTTGTGTCTGGTTGAATGCAGTAGGTTTTTTTTGCCTAATCGTTGTGTGTTTGTTTAAGGCTGTCTTAACTTTATCAAATGGACCATTGTTAGAATTGTGACTCTACTGAGATTGAGGTCTTTTCTGCTGGTCAACATTTACTTTGTGTCATCCTTTGGTGTCTGGTTGTTTAAGACTGGAGCTTTCTTGTCATAATTGGTGTTTTGGATCTATTTTCATTGTATGCCATACAATCTTTGGTTTTTCCTATATAAAATTAGTCTCTTATCAGAAATGATTTATTTCCTTTGTTCCTAAAAAAGGCGTTACTCCGTACTTTTTACTTTTAGAAAGAAATTTATGGTTTTTGCATCACTTTCAGACATGATTTTCTTTTTCTTAATCTCTGTGTTAAGTCAAAGGGTAATTTTTTTGGGATGGAGTATATAAGTACTCTCAAAGAACATTAGAGTTTATGTGTGTTGATTGAAATTTGTCTGGTTTGTCGATAAAAAATTAAACTCTCTCCATAAAACTTTTTTTTTTCACTCCTACCATAATATTTTTTATCTAGGTTGTACCACAAGCACTTTTATGATCTTAATACTTTTTGTTTCATAGAACTTTGATTTCCTTTAAACATATAGAACTTTTATTCTTAATTTTTAACACCAATTTTTAAAAAAATTAAATTGAAAATAGTTTTAGTACATTCTGCTCTCACGGTTCAAAAACGAATTTTCTTTTTAAAATTATGAGATTTGACTGAAGTTGAAAACAATTCAAATTTCAATCCAGCAAATCTTGAATCTAAAAGTGCACTGTAATTTTGAGTTAAAATAACATTGTAGATGCAACATGGATCACATCACAAACGCAAATGATTACGTAGTAGACATCTAGTCACTCTAAGGATTAGTAAGAATATTCTATGATCATCTCGTAATCAAGAGAACTTATTCTTATTAGTCATGAGTTTTGGCATGAAAATGTTTAATATAGGTAGGGGTGTAAACGGATATTAATCGGATCGGATATGCCATTACCAAATCTGTATCCGTTTATTTTTGTCGTATATTGAATTCGAATACGAATCTTGACGGATACTGAAAATCAAAACCGTATCTGCATCCGTCAGATATCGGTCGGATATCGAATATATCTGTATCCGTTTTTGATTTTTAAAATCAAATTAGACAATACTTTAATTTTAAATTATATTAAAGTCAAACTATTATTAAATCAACTATAATTTGTTATGGGATAACTATTTTCTTTGTTTTCATGATTTATGATATTGTACGATAACTTCATATGATAAAAAGATATACAGGCACACATATACACATTTTTTTATGTCTGCAAATATTTTTATGTGTTTACACATTTATTTTGTATATAAAAATTTCTGATACTCTGAAATATCAATAGAGAAACAAAATATAAATATAAAAAATGGGAAAAACTATATATAACGGATTGGATATTTGGATAAACGGTTATCTAAACGGATGCATATTCGGATCGGATTTTAAACGGATCGGATATACAATTACTAAATTCGTATCCGTTTAGTAATCGGATATCCTTAATCGGATACGGATAATATTCGTTTAAAACAGATGCAGATATTTCCTCTTTAAATGAATACGGATACGGACGGTAATCAGATTTTCAGCTATCCGTTTACCGCCCTAAATATAGGCTTCTTCTTCACAACAACATTCGTGTCATATTATGACAATAAAGCTATCCCTAATGCCTCACATTGCATTCTGCATAATCCTCCGCGGCAGTGTCATGTGGGTGTGCTTAGCTCCCTTTGTTTTGTTTTTTTTGCATTCTTTTCAATTAATTACTTTTTGTATTACAATACTTATTTTTAGTTGTGCAATAGAAAATATTTTATTGTTATTTGTTTTTACAAATGCTATATATCTTGCAAATAAAAAAACATACATGTTTAAAAAAAGTACTAGAAAAAATTGAAATTGAAATACGGAGAAATTTGAGTAGAAAAAATGAATTTAATTTTTTAATTTAAAAAGTATATAATTTAATTTGAGTAGAAAAAAAGATGAATATTTAATAAAAATAAAAGTGTAATCATTGCACTGGAAGTGAGACAATATGAGTGTGGAGTGAGTGAGATGATGAGTGCATTCGCTGATTAGAGTAATACTATACAAACAATACATTCACAAAATATATAAACTTATCAAATATGTAAAATAATAGTCTTTTCGTCCCAAATTAAATTGTTTGTTTACTATTCACAACGTCAAACTTCATTTACTTTTTTTCTTTGTTTTTGTTAGTCATTTGATAAAATAATATAATTTTGTCATCACTATTTTTGTAGATTTTTTGATGTAGTTTTTGAACATGTAATTTTTATTTTTAAATTTCATACCGCCCATTTTCATTTAAAATAATTTGAAAATAATAATTTCAGTCAAATATTGTAAACCAAAATATTCAATTTAAAATGGGACGAAAGGAATAGTTCGAAGTAATGGTCTCAAATAATCAAAAAATAAAAACTTAAATATATAAATAGTAAATTTATACATTATATGAGTGTTTTATTTCTGATTCTATCGTTACTCATTTGAGTATGTAGTCCTCCATATATATATTTGTTTATCCAACACGTTTTAATTCTTGAAAAAGAAAATAAATAAAATCATGGTCTGGTTTCCAACCACAAGAAAAGATGAGCATTAAGGGGTTGGGCAAAGGAATCATTAGTTGTGTGCCCGCCCGGATCAGTACTTTACTGGTAATGTCGTTGTGCACGGAACAGTACTTTTGTTGTTTATTTATGTTTGGTTTCATGAATGAATGAATAGTGTACAATTTAACTTGTACATCAAAATATGAGTATATTTTGATGGTTCGCAGTGACACAATATGTTAGTGTATAGCTTGGTGTACAATTTGAGTCATAGCTTTTGGGGAATAAGAAGTTTATTCAATATTGTCAAACTTGAATAACATGCAAAATCTTACTCCGTTTGTCCTAAAAAATGATTCTTTATTTTTGAGAGGTCTTAAAAAAGACCCTTCTTTACTCTTATCGAAAATTTTCGGTGGCTCACAATATTTTTCTCATCTCCATCACTTTTAACTATACATTTTCACTTTTCTTAAATTTTGTGTGAAGTTAAATTGAGAGCCATTTTTTATGACAAAGGAAGTATCTTTTTTAAATGATTTCATTAATAAATTGGTATTAAAATTTAAAATAAAATTACATGTTTCAAAACTATACTCTCTGTGTGTAAAAATTATCTTTTCCTTTACTATTCACACAGTCAAATTTTATTCACATTATATGTCTATTTTCGTTGTTCATTTAATAAAATAATATAACTACGTCAGCTCTAATTTTGTAGATCTATTGATGTACACCGTACTTTTTATTTGTTTTAATTCCACATCTATTTTCATATAAAATAATATGAAAATAACTTTAGACAAATATTCTAATCCGTAATGAGAAGATACTTTTTGGAAGGATGAAGTATCTAAACTTCTACTTCATTCGTTCCAAAATAAATAACCTCTTTCGCTCAACGTGCAAAATCTCGTGACTCTTAAAATGATTTTATATACAAATTGGAATTGAAATAAAAAAATAAAATTATATATTTGAAAAATTACATCAAAAGTCTTACGAAATTAGATGTGACAAAAATGTTTTATTTTATCAAATAATCAATGATAATATATACATAAAAAAATATTATGGAGAAACCGTGACAATGAAAAGATAAAATATTTAAAAACTACTCTGTATAAAGTATAAAAAAAGACTATAATAAAAAGTATTTTATTTCATCAAATAACCAATTACTAATACGGAGTAAAAAATATTAAAAGGCTATGTGAATTTGTCTTGTTAGGTATCGTCCGTTCGTTCTCTTCTTCATTCTCCTCCACAAACCCACCAACGACATTCCTCTTTTCTCTCTCTTTATGCTTTTCTTGGATTTCTTCTCTTTCTCCAATTTTAAAGAATTGATCTACCTCATTTATTAGATTTATTTTTTTAATAAAAATTGTTATTTCCTTTCTTTTTCTGGCGAATTTTCTTTGACTCTTTCAAACCGTCACCGCACAATGGTCGGTCAAACATTTCGCCTCTCTCTCTCTCTCACACAGTCTGTGTGTTTTTTTATGGACAAATTCTCCATTTCCCACAAATAACTTTCCCATTTCTGCTGCTCTGGGTATTCTTCCTTTTTCTTGAATAAGTTTTTTTTTTCTTTTCTTTGGGAATACTTTTCTTGAAGGGAAAAAAGATCAGTTTTTTAGAAGGGATTTTATTTGATTTGCAGGTTCTTGAAAGTCAAAAAAGTCAGCGGTGTTGATATTTTGCTCTGATTTGTTTGTTTTTCTCTTTTCAGGTCAATATTTGGAATGAGCCCTAGTTGGAATTGGGATATCATCTGTTTATTTGTTTCAAAGTTTTGGTGATGGGTTTCTTTCCACATTGAAAACCATTCTCTTTGTTGTTGTTGATGATGATGATGATAAGTTTCTAGATCTTTTCAATCTAATCTGTTGCTTGATTATTTGGGTTGGATCTTTTTTACATATAAAACCTAGAAATTAGAGACTTTGTTGGAGTGTTTATTGGATTAGTTCAAGAACAGGACAAAAAAATGGATTTGAAAACAAGCAGTGATGGAGATGAGGCTGCCAAAAGTGAGAAATTAGGGCCTGAAGAAATGGAGTTATTAGGGTCAAAGTTGGGAGGGGGAGGGAGTGTTAGTGATAGGAATTTGGGTGGAAAGAGCCCTAACAAAGACATGATTTTTCGGGCGGATAAGATCGATCTCAAGAGTCTTGATGTTCAGTTGGAGAAGCATTTGAGTCGCGTTTGGTCGCGAAGCGTGGAGGGTCAAGTCCCCAGGCCTAAGGAGGAATGGGAGATTGATCCTTCCAAACTGGAGATTAGGTATCTCATTGCTCAAGGGACATATGGTACCGTTTATCGCGGCACTTATGATACCAAAGATGTTGCAGGTATTCTTTGTTTGGTTCATCTCTTATGCTGCTCTGTTTTTTTTCTAGTCATAGGAGTTTTAGACACTTTAAATTTCAGAAATTCCACCGAATCATTTTCGCCAGATGACCGATGCCAAATGCACCCTTAATCTCATTGTGTCCTTTACAATGCACACCTTGTACTGCTATGTTAAAACAATTCAAATTTGACCTCCAAATTAATCCAAACATGGCCTACCTAAAATAAAAACTAACATAATGAAAAAGGCAAGGTTTTATTTTGAGATTTTCATATTGTCTTGGAATTTTACTGGGTTTGTTGTTGTCATTTGTTTTTGTTATTTTGTATAAAAAAACGAATTTGTTGATTTGTGTTACTTTCTTGTTTGACGGGTTCCCGTTTTTTTTTGTAGTGAAATTGTTGGACTGGGGGGAGGACGGCATGGCCACGGCTGCCGAAACGGCTACATTGCGAGCATCCTTTCAACAGGAGGTTGCGGTCTGGCAGAAGCTTGACCATCCAAATGTTACAAAGGCATGCACTTCGCAACTTCCCTTCTTGGAGCTCAACAAAAAACCATGATTTTCGGACCTCTTCTTTTCACCATAATTTTAACTGGAGTCTGAAGTCTCATTGTTTTTGTTTGCAGTTTGTTGGTGCTTCAATGGGAACTTCAAACCTCAAAATTCCATCGAAGAACCCTTCCGAGGGGTACACTACCCTCCCGTCGAGGGCGTGTTGCGTTGTTGTGGAATTCCTTGCCGGTGGGACCCTGAAAAATCTTTTGTACAAGAACCGAAAAAAGAAATTGGCCTACAAGATTGTTATTCAGCTTGCTTTGGACCTTTCAAGAGGGTGAGTGTATTATGTACTCCCCTCTCCTCTCACTATTTTTTTTCCCTTTTTTCCATTTTTGTCCGCCCCACTATTTTTGTCCCATACTATATTTGGTTATGTTTGTGTGGCTCGTATTCATTCTTACTTTTTTACATCGACTTCAAAGTTAATCCACGCCATTAAGAAATCATCCAAAACGCTAATTGAAAATGTTGTTTCCAAACAAGGCAATAGTGTATGTCGTGGTGCAATTAAAGTTACTCATTGAATGATTGGTTGACATGCGAGACTTAATTTCCATTGATGGGCTTATTATCATTTGCAGGCTGAGCTATTTACATTCCAAGAAAATAGTTCATCGTGACGTGAAGGCCGAAAACATGTTGCTCGACACGAACCGAACTTTAAAAATTGCCGATTTTGGTGTGGCTCGGGTTGAGGCACAGAACCCCAAGGACATGACTGGTGAAACTGGTACTCTTGGTTACATGGCCCCCGAGGTATTCATACTTTATAATGTGATCTTTTTAGCACATCACTTGGTAAAAATCATTTGGTATCTATGGTTGAACCCACAAATATTTTCAAAAGAACGAACTCTTGTTTTATAATATATGCCTTCTTGTTTGAATTAGCCCAAATATAACTATGAAACAAAGCCTAATCCTATATGACTTGTGTTTTATTCTTTTGTTTTGATTAGATTAAGTGTACACTTTGAGTTAAAAATACAATATAGACTTTGATTTGTGTAGGTTCTTGACGGCAAGCCCTATAACCGAAAATGCGACGTATACAGCTTCGGAATTTGCCTTTGGGAAATATACTGCTGCGATCTGCCATATCCGGATCTCAGCTTTGCTGAAGTTTCATCCGCAGTTGTCAGACACGTAAGTCTGTTAAAAAATTCATACATTATATTATTTCTATTAAGCAACCGAGCAATCTATGAATCGAACGGTACTTAATAACTATGTGTTTTTCCAAATTAGTCCCCAAGATGAACAAATTACCGAGATGGTTCTCGTTTATTGAGAATAATGCTCCGTTTATACATACGTCTTTGTGCTCTTACTGTGTGTGAGCCAGGGGTCTCTTGGAAATAGTCTCTCTGTGGTAAACTTACTGGGTTTGTTTTGTTTAGTTTTGTTTGTTTATGTAAATATACGTAAATGTTATCAGAATCTGAGGCCAGAAATACCGAGGTGCTGCCCGAGTATGTTGTCGAGCATAATGAAGAAATGTTGGGACGCGAACCCGGAGAAGAGGCCGGAAATGGACGAGGTTGTTAGGCTGTTGGAAGGGATTGATACGAGCAAAGGAGGAGGCATGATACCCGAAGACCAAGCGGGCGGTTGTTTCTGCTTTGCCCCCACCCGAGGCCCGTGATGGTTCGTGATTCATTCACACCCCATATATATATATATATATATATATATATATATATATATATATATATATATATATATATATATATATATATATATATATATAATTATTAATTATAATTATTAATTATTAATTAATAACTCTCTTTTCCTCCTTTTTTTCTCTTTAAAAAAAAAATTCCTCTCTTCTTCTTAGCTTGTCCCAAGTGTGATGGGGAATTTACATCCTTAAAATTAGTTTCGTCAGTTTGGTTTGAAATGCTACAAACTCATTTCCATATGTTCATTTTCAAATAAAATAGGGAGAGGCAAAGCCCCTACGAGTTTTGGTGTTTAATTCTTTTTTTCTCTCTTTCTTTCTTTTAATACTCCTCAATCTGCTGCTGCCGTCTACCCCAAACTCGAACCTAAAATGCAATAAATGACAAATCAAGTAGTAATTCATCTCTGATCCGTTAAAGCAAACTAAAAATCGAAAAATATTTTTGCCATGCATTTCTTTTCTCACTACATTTTATATATTACCAATTTATTTGTCTATTTTGCAATTTAACTTTCAACTAATTTCAAACAAACAAAATTCTTGTGACATGAAACAAATGGGGACGCAGAATTAACACAAAAAATGGTGTGTTTGTTTGGGAGGAAAATATTTTTCAAGAAATTTTTGATTCCATTTGCCTGTGTTTGGTGAAATATGTTGAAGAAAAATGTTTTCCAGGAAAAATATTTTCCTTTAATGGGAGAAAAATAGTTTACGTTAAAAATCGATGGAAAAATTTCAAGGTTTGAAATAAGCAACGGATCGGAGTACTTAGAAAACTTTTTAAACAAGTTTTTAAATTTTAAATAAATGCCTGTGTTGTTGGGAAAATATTTTAAACTTTTTCAAGCCGGCTCAGGTATTTCAAACTTTTTAAAAATTTAAATTAGTTTTAAATTTTAAATTTACAAAAATGGAAATTTTTTGAGAAAACGAAAAAAGTGAAAGAGAGACTGTTTTAAAAAACGGATGGAGTAATAAAAGAAATGATTTTCTTGAGGATATATTTTTTCTTGCTAGCAAACTAAGGAAAACGTGATTGGAAAATAATTTTACTTGAAAATCATTTTCCTTTGGAAAATATTTTCCAAAGGAAAATATTTTACCCGTAATCAAACACATCCTAAATCCGGGTGATCCATTAATTATGGAGATGCTCTTAACAACCTCCATCTACGTCGTCATTCATTTTCACTTGCAAGAAATAAACGAAAAATTGAAGAAAGAGCAGTTTAAGCAAATTTAAGAGAAAAAAGATCGTTGCTTTAAACTAAAGTAAATTCTATAAAGGGTCCTCAGTTATAAGTGGTTTTACATATTTAGTCCATACATATCAAATATCAATTATTTAGTCTCCAATTATTATATTGTTTTCTACAAATAGTCCTCTGCTAACATTTCTATTAAGATTTAAGAACATAGATAAAATTGTATATTCACATTCCTTTCTCTCTTCAATTAATCTTCTTCCCTCCTCTCGTACTCAATTTCAAACTCGTCGCTGAGTCTGAAGCTCTCAATCCAAAATCGAAACGATCATTCCTCTCTCAATTGTTCATCCTCCTAGTGGAACTTAAAATTGAAACTAATAACCTTCATGGGTGAATTTATGGATTAGTCTCAAAAAATTGCAAAATAAACAAACCTTAAAACTCATCCACGAAGAGTACTAGTTCCAATTTTGGATTCCAGGAGGAAGACGAGCAATTGAGAGAGGAGAGATAATTTCAATTTTGGGTTCAAAGCTTCAAACTCAGTGATGAGCTTGGGAAATGAGTGCGAGAGGAGAGAGGAAGCTTAATTGAAGAGAGAGGAGCGTAAATTTACAAATTTTTTCACGTTTTTAATGAAAATGTTAACAAAGGACTATTCGTGAAAAACAATATCATAATTGGGGACTAAACTATTGATATTTGATATGTAGAGACTAAATATGTAAAACGAACTATAATTGGGGACATTTTATGAAATTTACTCTTTAAATTGCGTACAATTATTCACTTCAAGCAAACCAAACAAAAAAAATCAAAAGTTATACAGAAAATGTGAACTTGGCGTCCACCAACTAAATAAATACAATGTGATAGATAGAATAAGAACGAAATAGTGTGATTAAAAATGACTGTCAAATTGAAAATGAAAAAGATTCATAAGTGGAAATGTTTTGCGGGACGATTCTAAGTACAACCATTTTGGCCGAATCCGAGCCTCCCTCCCGCGACATCGTACACCATCTCCAGAGTCTGGTGCTGGTAGCTCCCAAACATCCCAACCCCACCGGGTGCTGGGGCAAAAGCCAAGCACACGGTCGAGTGGTCCGCATTCTTAGTTATGTCCACCATGACGGAGGCGGGGTCGAGTTCGACCACCACACCACCGCCAAATGTGAAACTCATCTCCGGTATCTTCGGGTTACCGACACCCCTCAAGTCATAGCAATTGTCCAGTAGCATCCCTTCCTCCACTTTTACTCTCCGGTACCCCTCCATGTGCCTTGTGAATGAGTTGTTGAGAGCTTGGTATGCTCCAAGGGGCAACGTGGATATGGCATTTCCGGAGTCTACAAAGAATAGCGTTCCCGCACTGGGACTGCGGTTATTCGTGTTAATTTTCTCTTCCCCATTCACGCTCACGCCCAACACCGTGACGTAGTACGAATTGGGATCGTCTTCTTTGGTGACAAGCTTGGTGTATTTAATGGAACCACGGTAAGGACTAGCCCCGGTGCCGAAGGTTAGGTGCCCGGGTGCGGTCCCCTTTTCAGTGGCGAGGCAATAAGAGAATATTTTCCCGAACGTGTCCCACGTTTGGGACACAATGGAGAGGCTTCCTTTCCCTAACCCCATCACGCCCGCGTTGTCCCGCTGGGTCAAATTGTTTTGTTGTCCGCACCCGAAGATGATACCGGGCAAGATCAGCCCGCGGGACAACGTCAGGCTGTCTCTGGCCATGATGCCGGCGGAGTTTGTGTCCTCGGTGTAAAACTGGACGTAGTTGCACTTGTTCTGGGCTTTGTCGGAAAGGATGGAGGAGGACCTGAAACAGGCGCCCTTGTTGCCCGTGGCTTCGAGCAGGGCTTCGTCGCATGTTGTGGTGTGACACAAAACCTCGGAGTAGGTTGAGGAGGTGGCCGGGTCGAAAATCTGGTCGCGCTGGGGGTAGCACCCGTACTCGCACGGCTTGCATTGGGTCCACATCATGTCGCTGCCGGTGTCGATGACTAGGCTCAGCTGTGTTTTAGTGCTCCCGAGCCCAACCACCGCCGAGTGGGTGCCCAGGACATGCCTCGACTCGTCTTTCGCAGGGAGGTACACGCCGTTCACCTTACTCCGGCGGCTTGATCGGAGCCGAGCCGGCTGACGCACAAGTTCGCTCATCATAGTTGCCCTGTCCACCCCGCCACGGCCCTCGCTCAGTCTCAGCCTGTGGATAACTTGCAGAGACGCACCCGCCGCCAGATTCTTCTTGCCTGAACAAAATACCAAAGCTTACCTTATTATAAATACTTATTATAAATAAACTAAATAAAGGAAAGGTACGAAATGAGTTTTCTAACTACGTTCAACTCATTCGTTTCAAATGAGTTGCTACAAAAGAAATATTTGCACTAAATAACACTAAAACTTAAGTTATTTTCCTAAATAGCACTTAAACTGTTTTATTCCCTAAATAGCACTTAATAATGTCCATAATGTCAAGTGATGGCGAACATTTACTTGTATAATGACTAATGGATATTGACTAAAAGTGCTACATTGGAAAAAAAACATATCTGATGCTATTTAGGGAAAGTCATTATGTTTTAGTACTATTTATGTAAATTCCCAAACACAAAAACAACAAATACAAATTTTATACATGTACATACAAACACACACACACACAGACACACCACTCCGTAATATTTATATCTATTTATATATAGAAATGTTTCAAATTTAACTTATTGATATTACTCCCTCCGTCCAAAAATGTTCTTCCCGTGTTGACTTGGCACGCTTATTAAGGAATAGTAAAAAAATGCAAAATTTTCAAAAATGCACATACTATAAACTTTTAAATCTCCTTTTATTATTAAAAAAGTACTAAAAAAGTATATTTGTGATAAAATAGAAGGGTATTATTGATATTTAGCCTTAAAAAGTATACTAAAAAAGGAAATGGGAAGAATATTTCCGGACGGACCAAAAAGGAAAATGGGAAGAATATTTTCGGAAGGAGAGAGTAAATTTATATGGCAATAATTCAAATTATTTTTTCAGTAATTTGTGGTTAAGCTTTAATAAATCTGACCAAAAAAATTAAAATGGGAGGGATAATAGCTGTTTCGAACAACTATATATATACATATATATATATATATATATAGTTGTTCAATAAGTAAAATAAACGGATGCGGATTTAGTAAAGGCACATCCGATCCGTTTACACCTCTACCGAGAAGCATATGTGATTTTGTAATAGAGCATGATGCATTAGTAATAAGCCTGTTAATTAGCTAGAAAGAGGTAATGTGACCTTGGTTAGGGGCACTGCAAACAACAATGGGCGCCCTTATTAGCATGGAAATAAGCAGGGCAGTGATGAGTAGAATAATAAGAGAATTGAAGCCCCCATGTCCACCAACTACTTTGCCTTCAGCCGCCATGGCAAAAGAAATGAACACAAACACGTTGTCTGATAATATATATATTATCAAAGATGCATGAGAATATATATATATATATATATATATATATATATATATATATATATATATATATATATATATATGCATATGATTGTGTTGAGATAGTGGAATTAATGGTGAAGGTTTAATTGTATATTTATAATAAAGTGTGCATATATTTTCTTCCCTCCAAAATAAATATTATCATACAACTTTTCTTTTTTAAACTCTGCGAGAAAAATTAATTAAGGCTCCGTTTGGTACACGGAGTTCAAACCATGGAATTGCAATCGAAAACAACAATTCCGATTCTGGTGTTTGGTTGCACAAAAATATTGGTAGTGCCAAAAATGAATTGGAATTAGAGAATTCAATTCATTTCAAATCAAATCGATTCAATTTCCAATTCATTCCAATTCCGAGTACCAAACAGACCCTAAACGAAAAGTTTAATATGAGACCATGAATATTTTTTACCCTAAAGCTTGGCTTTGCTACCTTGTTTTTCTTTTTGACTGATTTTCTAGCTAGCAACCCAATGAGCCCGGCGATATATGAATGGGAAGTATGTCAAATTGTCAATTGGAGGTAATAATTAAAGTAGTGTTTAATTAATAGAAAATCATTTTGGAGTGTATAGACTTTGATTATATCAATGGAGAAAACCATCAATTAGTTAAGATTTTCCACCCGGATGATATGCATGATGTTGCCTTTTGCTACTACTAATAAGAATAATAAATTCATGTATTTATTTCATAGTGTAAAAATAATATTACCCTTGTTACAGTGTATTTGTCCAGTTTGATTTTTTTGGGTCGAACTAGATGAACTTTAGATGTCAATTTAATAAAAATGGTAATGCGTATTAGTATAAGAATTATTTCATTAGACTTATCTTTTTGAAAAGTTTCAAAATTTTATTCTATTGTATAAATATGCAATGCTAATTGAGATTTGAGATTAATTGATGATTCCAGTTTGTCCACTTACACTTGAAAAAGTCAAAGTGGACGAATAGACTAGGACGGATGGAGTATTATTCAATTGTACTCTTTTTGTTTCAAAACTTAACCATATTTCTCATATATATATTTTTTATTGCTTAACAATATTTTTTCATTTTAAACAAATCCTAATTATTAAGTTTTCGTTTTATTTTTCAGTCCTTTACATGACTTGTGAAGTAAATAAAGTAACTTAAATTTAAAGACGGATGGAGTTTATATACTCCCCATGACCAATAAAATTATGCTCCGTAGTAAAAAAAAATTGCTATAGTAAAAAATTTCTATATATTAGTAAAAAATTACATTTTTTCAGCTAAAAAAATAACTTTTTAATGGAGTTTCTTCTTTTCAATTATAGTAAAAAATTTGCAGCTAAAAAATTTCGCTCCTCTTGACCAATTCTAACTACACTTTTTTAACCTTTAACATATTTTTTTTTTATTTCGTAAAAGTGAACCAGAGAGGGAGTAGTTGACCTGCTTTTCAATCGTCCAGATCTGGATTTTTTTTAATTCTTTTTTGCTTCTTCTTCTTCTTCTTGATTCATTTTCTAGGCTTCAATTATGAGGTTTTTTTTTTTGATGGAATAATTTTTTATTTAATTTTGATCTTTTTTATTAAGAAATGAATTTTTTATTAAATTTATTTAAATTTTGAATGAAAAATGTTTTGAAACGAGACTAAAAATTACAATGTTTTGAAACGAGACTAAAAATTAGTAAAATGTTGATGTGGCAGGAGTTGGGACGAGGCCAGAATTGTCCCCAATGTAAATACTCTAATCGAAAAATCAATAAAATAACTTTATCCAGATAGATAATCACCGGTGACCAGCCCATTTTTTCCTCCCAAAAATTTTGGGTTCTGTCTCCTTTATTTTTCCCCGTGATGTTCGATCCCCTTTTTATTTATAGCCCAACGATAGTGCAATTATGACCTTGTTTTGAAATAACACTTTCTCTTAGCATTTTAAATAACATCTGAATGGTGTAAGTTTTGAAAATGTTGTTGTTATATAGTTCAAAAATAATCCTCTCATTTTTCTTTGGGAAAAAGGTTAAAAAAAGATTAAAACATTAAGAAAATACCAAAATAAAAATTTCATATTTTTATTCCCAAAACATGACTTGATCATGTACATTGCCAAAAAAATATAATAATATGCACATGTACAATGTCACATTACAACAGTGCCGAACTCGGCAATAAAAACATGAAATTTCTATTTTGATACTTTCTCTATGTTTTACTTCTATTTAAGATGATTTCTTTTTTCATTTTCAGTCTGTCTATTAATTATCTTCCTATTTCCTTTTACAATATTCATCATTTTTAATTCAAAACTTATATAAATTAATACAAATATTTTTTATTAATAAAAATAGATAAATAATAGTAATAAATAAAATAAACGTGTAGATTCAAAATTAACAAAGGTAAATAAAAAGATTAAAATTAATTAAATATTAATTATTGGAATTAAAATATAAAATTGAAATTAAAAGACTGCAGCGGCGGGCAAATGGTCTTAGGAACTCTACAAGACTAAAACTTACCCACTGCCCATTTGAGTTAAAATATTTGAATAATAATATTGCTCCCTGAATTATGAAGTACATGATAGAGTATATATAGGAGAGACTCCTAACACAACTAGGAATAGAGAATGGAAACTAACTAACATACAACATCTACTACAAATAGGATTAGGAAGCTGACTAATAATGAAACACTACCATAACCAATACTACAAGAAGTACTATTAGTATTATTGTCTAACATCCCCCCTCAAGCTGAACTCTGGCTGAAGCAAGAGGAAGCTTGGACACTAGCTGGAAACTGGAAACTTTGAGAAGAGAGAAGTCTGACATGCGCCGGTGGCTGCTCACGTCGTTGGAGAAGAGAGAAGTGTGACGCGCGCCAGTGGCTGCTGACGTCGTTGGAGAAGAGAGAAGCAGACGTGTGCCGGTGGCTGCTGACGTCGTTGGAGAAGAGAGAGAAATTGACGTGCGCTAGTAGCTGCTGACATCGATGAAGAAGAGAGAAGGTTGACGTGCGCTTGTAGCTGCTGACGTCGAAGAAGAATAGAGAAAGCTACTCGAGGTGCCTGTTTGACTGAAGATCCTTGACATTTTTTGTCTTTTTCTTGGATCCGGGCAATGCCCTATTTCCTTCTTGAAGGGGTGAGTTGTAGAGGTCTTATTTCCTCTTTCACTATTTCCCCTCTTGGCTTTGCTTTTGTGCTGATTTACTTTGGATTTTTATTGGTTCAATAGAAGAGAAAGAGAAGGGAGGTTGATGATTAGAATGAGTGATTTTAGAGAGAAAAAGTAGGTTAAGAATTGGTGATTGAAAAAAAAATTGGGTCTGAGATTTTGATATGGTGAATTAGAGATAAACAACAATCATTTTTTTTTCTTTTTTTTTGAGAAGATAGGATGATCTGAGAGAGTTTGTGAGGAGTTGGGATTTTTTTTCATTTGAATGGAGAAGCTGATTTGAGGATAAAGAAGAAAACGAAAATAGAGGTGAATAGGGTGGAGCTGCCGTTGGCGAAATTACCGGCGGCGGCGGTGGGAGCAAAGATCTTTTTTTTAGGTCACCAAGAGCGGTGACTCCGATACCATGTTGGAATATTGAAATAATGGTAGAAGTTGATTTGAGGATAAAAGAAAGAAAAGAAAATAGAGGTGAATAGTATGGAGCCGCCGTCGCCGGAATAACCGGCGGCGGCGGTGGGAGCAAAGAACTTTTTTTTTAGGTCACCAAGAGCGGTGGCTCTGATACCAAGTTAAAATATTTGAATAATAATATTGCTCCCTGAATTATGAAGTACATGATAGAATATATATAGGAGAGACTCCTAACACAACTAGGAATAGAGAATGAAAACTAACTAACATACAACATCTACTACAAATAGGATTAGGAAGCTGACTAATAATGAAACACTACCATAACCAATACTACAAGAAGTACTATTAGTATTATTGTCTAACAGATCCACCTCGCAGCCAGCTAACCACTCTTCTTTCTCCTTCATTTCTGATATAGCTCAGCGAATCTTGGTGTTAGAGTGTCATCCCACATCGGAAGTTCAAGAGCAAAATAATCGGTAAAAAAATATATTATTATTATTATTATTATTATTATTATTACAACTTTTTTTAATTATAATAATAATTAAACTTTTTTTAAAACTTTTTTTAGATTTTTCAATTTTTTTCTAGTTTTTTCAGTTTCTTTTAATTTTTTCCAGTTTTTCCAACTTCCAGCTCTTTTTTTCCAGTCCTAAAGAACAGGCCCTAAAACCTACCCACTGCCAATTTGATCCACCTCGCAGCCAGCCAACCACTCTTCTTTCTCCTTCATTTCTGATATAGCTCAGCAAATCTTGGTGTTAGAGTGTCATCCCACATCGGAAGTTCAAGAGCAAAATAATCGGTATATAAGCTCTTGAGTTGAACTAATCAACTCAAAAGCTTATATACCAGTTATTTTGCTTTTGAACTTCCGATGTGGGATGACACTCTAACACTTGGTTTCAACTCATCTTCTTCTGAACCCCTCTTCATCGAATCCTGGTTGAAAATGAAGCCTGACGAGTATAGCTGAGCAAATCTGGGGTTGGCAAAATAGCCACAAACTTCATTGGATGGTGAAATCCATGCTTGATTTGAGCGGATATCTCTTTCGAATTTTGAAGACTGAACTCTAGATCTGTGGAAGAGACGATCAGCAGCGACGGCTAATTAGGTGGTGCATGATGTCAGTGCTGTAATGGCGGCGATTGGTGGCGGAGGAGTGACGAATGGGCAGCGATTGATTTTCAGCGGTGTTGCACCGTACCTCTTGCACAGGGTAAGAGAGAGATGGGTGGGCGAAGGGCGAGGGAGGGTATTTTAGTAAAGTCAATGTAACTTTCATCCTACATAAACTTGCGTGCTAGATCAAACCCGGAAGATACAAGTTGGACATAAAGAGTAGTTTTTTCAAAGCGTTAAAGCTAAAAGATATTGTCAGTTGTTACTTAGAGGGTGTTTGACACTCTGGTAAATTTCTTGAAAAGCAAATGTCCTAATGTAGCTAGAAGTCAAAAGTATCACACTTCCTTGATTTAACATAACCTACCTTATATTTTCAATAACTACACCACATCAAATTGGTCTTAATCTTTGTGTTTTCCATTTCTGACCTTACTTATGGGACGAAGGGAGCATCTATAGTATAATGGCTCTATGTCCTCTTGCCTTACAAATCAGAAATGAGCTTCTGATTTATTCTTCTCCCACCATCATTTGGAATTGAGAAAGAAGATGGTTTAATTTCTGAAGGTGCTAATCAACAAATGGAACATAAACTGACGAAATGAAGTCAAAACAGTTACCCAAATGTTTAGCTAAGGCAACCAAGAAAAAGAGCCTTACTTGGACAAGGTTTGAAGTTTAGGATCAACAAAGGCGTGATGCCTCAAATCACTTCGCCAGAGCTTAGCCAAGTGGAGATGAGAAGCGGTGCGCTTATGAATGTCTTGAATGGCCCAGATCTTGGCTTCGGCATTGCTGGGATGGATTATGGTGTCGTCCAATGGAATATCTTCATCATGGTACATTTTCTATCTTCTTATCAATTCATCTGTTTTCCACATAAGAAATTAAGAATATCAAACCAAACCAAATGGACCATAAACATCTGGGGTGGATGGGGGATCAAAGTTTCTTAAGTGTAAATAAAACTTGCTAATAATGGCATGTTATGCTTGCAGATAAATGCAATAGCAAGTAATCATATTAACTTGTATAAATTATATGGACATTAAGCATCATGCACTGTAGTCTATACAAATCATAACCCAAAAAAATGACTTTTGTTAAGGACAGAGCAGAAAAAATCAAACCAAATTACCTTCTGAGAATTCATTAACAGCCAAAAATTTGGTGCCAATATCAACATCTGGTTTAACATCTTCAATATCTGGAGTGCCAAGGGGTAAGACCCAGGTTCGATTCCTAACAACTGCGCTGAGTACCAGGTGCAGGCTCCATTCTTTGCTACCCAATTTACATCTTCTCACTAACCATCCGGGCCGGGTCTCACGGGCCCTCGGGGTTGGGGCTCATCCTTTTTGTTCAATATCAGAATCATATGATGATATCACTGCAAATGGTGTCATTACCTTCAAAGAATCATAATCAATTAACAATCCACTGGTGATCAGGTTTCTATCTACAAAGGGATTCAGATTAACCCCAATATTTTGCCTATCCGCTAACAGATCCGAACCCTAATAGTTCGAGAGTGGGGAAATTTCTGGCACCAGTAAGAAGATTTAGAGTAGGATTTGAAGAAAAAGATAGAGAAACAGCGATGGAGTTCCTCACCGGGAAGTGGAGACGGCGGCGGTGCACCGGAGAAACTATAATTTGTGCAAGCTAATACCCCTGCATTCTTGGTAATGGTCTGGGTTTGGGTCCAAATCTAAATTTGCAATGGATTGGGCCTATGGGGTCTACATAAAAACTAAAACTAAAAATGGTCTCTATTTGAAATCAAAATGTTAATAACTAAACACTTCTCAATGTTTTAATACTTCTCAATGACTTATGTTTTAGTCCCAATTAGTACAAATTTTTCCTATATAAATAGTAGTAAAAAGTAAAAACTTTGCTCAAGATGGAACACAAGGTAAATGTCAAAATATAACACCACAAGTATGTAAGTACTTTATCGTCTTTACGTTACTCGTAAATAATTACTCAATTAATTGCGACTACATGTACATTTATCTGTGTACGTACCAAGCAGTGTATTAGTAGGGGTGGACACGGTACGGTTCCGGGACGGTTCCAGTTCCGGTACCGCCACCCCATGGCACCGGTACCGTGACCGGACCGGCCGATACCGGTTCCGGTTCTCGGACCGGCGGTTCCGGTACCGAACCGGCCGGTTTCGCCTCCCCCCCTTTTTTTTTTGCTTTTTTTTTTTTGCAAATTGCAGGCCCCTGTTACACACTTCCACTTCCTCCCGTTGAAGAATGAAGACTAGTCCCCCTCCCTTTAATGTTAACTTTTGTTTTGCAGGTGGTGGGCCGAACTGATGCAAGCTTGCAGGGAAAAAACACATTCACGGTACCGGTACCGTACCGGTACCGGCGGTTCCGGAACGAAAATTTGGGTACCGATACCGGTACCGGTTCCCGGCACCGGTGGTACGTACCGTGCGACGGTGACGGTAGATGGTACCGGCGGTACCGTTGCCGGTAACGGTACCGTACCGGTACCGTGTCCAGCCCTATGTATTAGTGTTCATTTTGAATTCTAATAACCACTTTTTAACAAATTAAATACTCCCTCCGTCCCACTCTCTTTGTCCACTTACCTTTTGATACATCATCCAATGCACTTCTTTAATCCATTTTATCTTGTAATTTGTATATTAAAAAATTATAAAAATTATATATTAATAATCTATATGTTAAGACAAATCAAACAAGATCACACATGACTATATTTAGGCTTACACATTGAGAGAATTTGATGAGTCAAAGTGCTTAGATGAACAGTTCCAAAAGTTAAAAGTGGACAAAGAGAGTGGGACGGAGATAGTATAAATTTATATTAAATTTTAAAATATCAATAATGAATATCTAACAAAATTGGGCCCTAAAAGTTTGGGGGACTTGTGCGGTGCACATCCTCCGAGCCGTCCATGAGTGTATGTCGCATTTTGAGAGAGACTTACCCTTGTTTGGAACTGTGGATAATGAGAAGAAATGATAGAAAAATATGAAGAAAAAATACATCGAAAATTATTGTTGTTTTGATTAAGGATAAGTGAGGTGAAAATAGATAGAAAAAATGTGAAAGAAATGAAACAGGAAAAATGCTCGGTAGAAGACATTTTCTCATCTATTATTATACTCCCTCTCCTCATAAAATCCTTCTTCCTTTTCGTTTTTCATTCATATTAAAAAAAATATACTCCCTCCGTCCACAAATAAATTTTACGTTCACTATTCACAGGGTCAAACTTTATTCACTTTGTTGACCTATTTTCGTCACCCATTTGATAAAATAATATAGTTATGTCACCTCTAGTTTTGTAGATCTTTTGATATAGTTTTTTAATATGTAATTTTTATTTTTCAATTCTACACCAATTTTCATATAAAATGATTTGAAAATAACTTCAGTCAAACATCATAACGCGCAATGTAAAGTTTACTTGTGGACGGAGGGAATATATACTCTGCATTTTATTAAATACTCCGTATTCAATTTTACTCTACTACTCCGTAATTCTTATTATATCTATCACGTCATATTTATTCACTAATAATCTACTAATCATATCATATTTTTAATTTACCCCTCCTAACCACCCTTCAAATATTTCTCCAATAATTTTCTGCTCCCAACCACTCCCGCCCCTGTCCACTGGCCGGATTGCCAATTTGACCAATTAGGTGATTAGGAGAGGTAAGAACAATAAATTTTACGATCGAAACACTCTAGATGTCCTAATTAAACTAATGTTAAGAAGTGATGTCTTTTTTAATGGTGTGATTTTAGAGACCTTATATATGAGGGATTGAAAGACTATATCATCTCAAAAATAAATTAATAAATACTAGAATATCATTTTAGGACAGATGTATAAATACGTTCGGACGAAGAGAATGCAACCTTATTATTATGAATAGACTTGTTTTGATCATTCAACCGGGTCTGAGGGAGCTCTTGGGAATGAGACTCATCATTTGATGTCCAATTAATTATTTCAATGGGTGGAGTATGATTATCACGTTGGACCATTAATTACGGCCATGGAAGCTTTTTTTTTTTTTTGCCTTAAAATGGGGCTTAGTACTGCACGCATGGGGAGCACGCAGTCGTGGACTAAAAGACTTTTGACTTTTCCATAGGGCCGGTCTCGAAAAATGAAAAAATAAAATTGGTCCGGTCCAAAATTTATATTTTGTGCCATATTTTATATTTTTAGAATACTATTACTTTAAAATTATTAACAAATTTAAAAATATGGTGCCCTAAATTTTAAAAGGCCATGTGCGGTTGGCCACTTTGCACACCCTTCGGACCACCCATGCTTTTCCACAATCTCACCACTTCTTCTATTCCCCCATTCCATCGTTACAATTTGTGCTAGAGTCTGACTTTGTACTTTTAAAGGTAATTTCTCTCCTAAAAGATTTTCAGGTTATGTTTAATATACGAAATTTAAGGTATTGAATTAGAATATACGGAGTACATAATAATTTCAATTATGTTTTTTGGTAATATAAAAATATGTGGTCCCAATATTTTGGTCATATTGGTTTATATTGATAATTAGTTTGATAAGTTTAGCACTGCTCTACGACATTATGGCTTTCGACAATCTCATGTAGTTCATACGTTGATCATTTGTTTACCGATGTGGTCCCAATATTTTGGTCATATTGGTTTATATTGATAATATTCTTGTTGCAAGGAATTATATTGTAGCTCTCTCCATGCATCTTTTAGGAAATATCTTGATGATTTTTTGGTTATGCCTTTTATTTTTAGGAATTCTATGTGCTCGATTCAAGGAAGGAATGGTGTTGATTTTGAGGAAACATACTTTTGAGATTATTCAAGATGAAAAGTTTTCTAGTTGTAAAAGCATGAGCAATGGCGAGGCAAAAATGGAATGTCACACGCTGACGTGGAACATTTCGACCAATGAAAAACAGTCTAGTCAACGAGTGGCAAGGGAGTGGAGTGGTATGCTCTGCAGTGGCAAGTCGGTGTTTTTATTATTCTTTTTTTATTTTTTCCCATATTTGAATTATTTGAGGTTATTTAACTTGTTTATTTTATCATTGAAAAATTCTATTAACTCGAAATTATTTAATTTATTTTTTTCATAAAAATACTTCTAATTTTTTTAAAAAAAATTATTTTTTTATGCAAACAAATAAAATGACAATAATTTTTTCTCACTTTTTATTTTTCTTTAAATATTTTGATTATTTGAAATTATTATTGTTATTTATTTTATCATAAAAAAGGTTATACTTAGTACTTCCTTAAAAAATTATTTAAAAAGTCTCTCTTACCAAAAAATGAAAGAAATGAAAAAAAGGAAAAGAAAAATAGGAACAATAAGGCTCGTGGATGACACGGTAAGGAAGGAGAAACTCTATCTCCTAAGTTATGTGTCCTTAATTAGTGTCCTTGTAACCCTTTTTTCTTGTAGTGTGAGGTGGTAGGGCATGGGAATGTATCTCCATGCCGCTGCTGATGCTCTAAGAGAGTTGACACATCCATTCAGCCTAGTCATAAACTTGTTAGCTCCACCTGTGCAAGCTCAACAATAGTACAAGATATTGTAGGTTTGTGGAAGAACAAAACGTCAAATAATGATCAACTCAATGATAAGTTTAAGTTTGTAGTGGTAGGCAATAACATTTTAATACTCGTATATTCTAACGTGTGTCAGGTATGATTCGAGTGTGGAAGTTCCAATTTCACATTAGTTTGAGTTTAGGTTAATTATTAACCTTAATAATTATGTTTGTTATTTTCCAAACGAAAAATGCATTTTCAAAAATTAATGTTACCCCAAACCGAACCCTCTCGTTTTCAAAATGGTACGATACGGGTTCTCAAAAAATGGGAGCAAAATTACCGAGCCAGACCATTACTATTAAAATGTTAAATTAATAAATTGATTATGTCTTTACTTAATCTTGGTCTTTTAAGTGCGTTTACAATACTAATTTGACAAAAACTACTCCATGGTTTACAATGCTAGAACGTATCGTATGGTTTTGAGGAGATATATATGGCATCGAATGATTTTACTAACTCGTAATTAAAAAGAACTGTGAACGAACTCATTCAACCAAAAACTCAAGCTTGTAGTTGTGGCCCAGGAACAGTTATTTATACTCTAACACGCCTCTCACGTGCAGGCGTAGTCTTTTTCAAGCCTTGCACGTGAAACCTTATTTTTTTTAAACTGGGTGACACTAAGTTTCGAACCCGTGATCTCTTAGTCAACGAGGCTCTGATACCATGTGAAGGAACCCATTCAACCAAAAGTTCAAGCTTGTAGTTGTGGCCCAGGAACAGTTATTTATACTCTAACCAGAACCGTACTGAATCATTTGAATACTACTTCGTAATTTAAATACGGAGTATAAGATATGGGTTCTATTTTTTTTAGCTTTGACTCTGGTTCCTTATTTCGAATTGAATGGTTCAAGGCTAGGCCAAGTCCATCTTCCATATGGGAAACTTCGAATTCAAATGATTGAAGTATTCTCATTAAAAAAAGGTAAAATTTGCATTGAATAGAATTAAAACATATCTCATTTTTTAATATCGTACTTAAACTTTTTTTATTTTTTAAATAGTACTTGAATAATGTCTTATGACGAGAACAAAATTCAGTGATGGTGGATATTTAGTTTGAACAATATCCAGTGACGGTGGATATTTACTTGAACAATGACCAGTAGACATTGAATAGTGGTACTATATAGGAAATAAAAATATATGATATTATATTGAGAAAGTCACTATATTTTAATACTTTGTACTATCTAGATAAATTTTCCTAAAAATACAAGGATATAAAACCTCCGATTTTCTTTGTAATTTCAGCTGCATTGAAAATTGAAATATATAATTAACAAACGGAGTGATAAACAAAAAAATGTCATTAGACAATTATGAGTAACATAAATTGTTTGTTTGATATAGGATAATAGTAATTGATCAATATATTCATCTATGTACCGTCACTTGATAGTGTTTTTTTTAGGAAAAATTAACCAAAATAATCCCAACTTTACCCGGTCTTTCAAAAATAATCTCACCTCACCTTTCACTGTGATGCATAATAATCTCAACTTTACTGAAATTTGCAAGTTTTGGGTCACCGTTAAGTTTCTAACGGAGGGTTAACGGAAATGCCCGTTTTAGGCAACAAAATGAAAGTTGGGATTATTTTTGATGAATTTTTGTTTTTTTATTTTTTTAAATTTTTTATTTAAATTTTTTTAATTACTTTCTACCTCCATCATCATTTCTTTTTCCTTTTTTAAAGATTAGTCTTAGTTTAAAAAATAAAAATAATAGATATAAAAAATGAAAACATGAGAAATGTAACTAAAATGATACGGAGTACAAAAATAATAAAATAAATAAGGTAATCAATGGACACTAATTTGAAATTGGTAAAAGTAAAATAAAAATATACGGGTGAGTTTTAATATTTTACGCATTATACAAAGTATTAACATATCACTTCTTATTTTTTATAAAAAATTATCTACAATAATTTCAACTTTACCGGATGGCTTGTTCTTTTAAAAAATAAGTTGTACATTAAGACTCCGTATAGTGTGTAAAATGTTAAAACCCACCACTCCGTATATATTTATTTTATTTCTTACCAGTTTATGTTTAATTTCTATTGATTACATTATTTATTTGATTAATTTTGTATGGTTTCAGTTATTTTTCTTATTTTCATTATTTTTTATATCTATTTTTTTTCTAAGGTAAGAATAATCTTTAAAAAAGAAAAAGAAATGGAGGTTGAAAGTAATTCAAAAAATTTAAATAAAAATTTCAAAAAAAATTAAAAAACAAAAATTCATCAAAAATAATCCCAACTTTCATTTTTTTGCCTACAACAGGCATTTCCATTAAACCTCTGTTAGAAACTTAACGGCGACCCAAAACTGGCAAATTTCAATAAAGTTGGGATTATTATGCATCACAGTGAAAGGTGTGATTATTTTTGAAAGATCGGGTAAAGTTGGGATTATTTTGGGTAATTTTTCCTTTTTTTTTACTGCGGCAAGAAATAACAATTCATCAAAACCTTTGCGATACCGACACGTGGCGGCGCTTGAGATGAGGTGGGACGATGGCGATGAGGCCTCCGAGCGGCGGCCTCATCTTCGCCCGGTAAGTCATCTCGTCGTACGGCCGGCGGTAGAACTTCAAGAACGGGACGAAAGACTCGCGCGACCGGTCGGGCCGGCTGACGTGGCCGTCCCTCTTGAAGAACACGGCCGGGGACTGGAAGAAAGACGGCCTTGTCATGGCCGCCGGGGTCCTCTTCGCCGGCAGCGGCGTCGACGGGAAGAAACCCGTCCTGGGCGTCGTCCGCGCGAGGGGAGACGCGAAGGACATGGACCGGCCGCTGAGCGGCGAGATGGCGGCGGAGTCGGTCAAGGTGAGGTGCCACGGCTTGAGGGAGTCAAAGTGGCGGTGGGAGACGGTGAAAGTGAACCGGGAGGAAGAGCAGGCCGGGCCAATCCGGGCCGTGGATGAAGGGCTGCTGAACCGGTCTGACGCAGCCTTGTGACACGTGGACAGATCGGTGAATCCCAATGGGTCTTCAAAGTCAATGGAAGATACCGCCATGGTCAACGGTGCAAGCTCCACAAATGACTTTACACCCTGTCCACATTCACATCAGTCACACTATAGGAACAATTAAACGTATTCAAAATTTGATTTTATTTTTTTATTTATTTTTATTTGCACTGATTCGATAGGGAAACTACTTGACAAACCACAGGACAAATTTAAATTATACGTACAGAATAAATTTAATTCAATTAAATTTAATTCAAAATATGTTTTTCTTATTAGTCATTTTAAGAAATAGTCATATTACCTCCTATTTGATATATTTTTTAAATTTGCAAAATTTATTTTTTTAAAATCTAGCCTAATTATTAAATAAGTTATATTAAAAATAATTTTATTCAAATATCATAAATTAAACCAGACGATTTAAGCTGGCACGAAGGGAGTAAAAGACCAACACCATATTTCATTTTTTTTCATTTTTTTTAAATTTCAATTTAACTTTTACAATATTCAATGAAATATTTTGACCAATAATAAATATAGTCCCTTCTCTTTTTCTTTTTATAGCATTCAATTCAATCTATTAAATCTAAAAAAAATTCAAATATTTAAGAATATAGGAATCTAATTTATACTCCCTCCGTTTGGGAAAACCCTTCCCACTTTGAAAATAAGGCAAATTAAGGAAGTGTAAAATTATAGTTGATTTCCAATTTTGCCCCTGATGTGATGGGTAAAAGTAAGATGTGATGGATTGATTATTAGAGAAAAAGTATAATGTGATAGGTAGGGTAAGAAAAAGTAAGGGTAAAAGTGGTTTTTTAATAGAAAGGGGAAGTGTTTTGTTGGAAGTGAAAAAAATGGAAGAGGAAGTGTTTTTGAGAACGGAGGGAGTAAAAGACAACGTTTCAAAGAAAAATATAAAAGACAGTGTTTTGAAGAATAAAATAAATACCTTCCAAAGATAAGAGAAGAGAGAGGGAGGATCAATAAGGAAGGCCTTGTGAAGGCGGGCCGGATAGTAATCGGCGGCCAGCTTGAGAGCCAGCAGAAGCACGTTCAGAAAGGCGGAAGCCGACCGGAAAAAGCCTGCACCACCGTACCCACACAAAAATTTCTTCCATTAATTTATGTACTCCAAAACACCACAACTGTCCCCTCAACAATAATTTCCATCATTAAAACTAATCATTTTGCCCTTCCCTCCCTTTTGTTCCCACTTTCCACCACTATTCTCAAAATTATTACTGGGTATATTCTTGCACCCCCTAAAAAATTACGGAGTATTAAACTTTAAATTAAAGAGTAAATTCCATAAAAGGTCCCCAGTTATAGGTCGTTTTACATATTTAGTCCCTACATATCAAATATTACTAATTTGGTCCCCAATTATTATATTTATTTCTACGAATGATCCTTTGTTAACATTTTCATTAAAACGTGGATAAAATTATAAATTCACACTCCTTTCTCTCCTCAATTAAGCTTTCTCCTCCCTTGTACTCCTTTCTCAAACCTGTCGCTGAGTTTCTAGCTTTGAACCCTAAACCAAAATCATCACTCTTCTCTCAATTGTTTGTCTAACTGGAGGAGCGATCATTTAAATTTTGGGTTTAAGAGCTTCAAACTCAGCGACGAGTTTGGGAAAGAGTATGAGAAGATGAAGAAAGCTTAATTGAGGAGAGAGAGAAGTATGAATATACAATTTTATCCACGTTCTTAACGGAAATGTTATAAAGAACCATTTGTGGAAATAAATATAATAATTGGGGACTAAATTAGTAATATTTGATATGTAGGGACTAAATATGTAAAACGACCTATAACTGGGGATTTTTTATATAATTTACTCTAAATTAAATTATAACATTCTTTAATTATGAATTATTTAGAAAATATATTTAGTTATAATATAAATTTAATAAAATTAGATTTATTATAAAGTATAGCTTTGAAATATTAAAAGTTTTAAAATATTTAATTATTTTAAACTATATTTAATTTGTAGTCATATGATGTCACACTCTAACTGAAAAAATTAAACTGTGACAATGTTTTAGGAATGAAGAGAGTAATAATTTTAGGGTTATTTTTTTAATTTTATCCATACTCTATAAGAAGGTAAAATATACTCCGTAATATGTAAGACAAATTAGTCATAATCAGAAAAATAACACTAAAATAATAACTTTTCAAGGCACGATTCTTTTCAAACTGGTTGGGACGGAGGAAGCACAAAACACTACTCTCTCCGTCCTAATTTAAATTGACTATTTTGATTTATGATGTTTGACATTGATTAAAGTTATTTTCAATACGGAGTAATACGATTTATTTGAGAATTGAGATGAAATTTTAAAAAATACATCTTTATAAACGACACCAAAAGTTATAGAAAATAAGAGGTGGCATAACTATATTATATTATCAAATGAATGACAAAAATATAGAAAATAAGTGAATGATATTTAATCATGAGAATAGTAAACAGATAACTTAATTTGGGATGGAGAGAGTATAATATACTCCCTCCGTTTGGAAAAACCCTTCCCATTTGATTTGGGGGCAAAAATAAGGAATTGTTAAATTATAGTTGATTTCCAATTTTGCCTCTGATGTGATGGGTAAAAGTAAGATGTGATGGATTGGTTATTAGAAAAAAAGTATGATGTGATAGGTAGGGTATGAAAAAGTAAGGGTAAAAGTGGTTTTTTAATAGAAAGGGGAAGTGTTTTATTGGAAGAGGAAAAAATGAAAGAGGAAGTGTTTTTGAGAACGGAGGGAGTATACTTTAACGGCATGTTTGGAAACTAAATTCAGATTTCAATTCTAAATTATTGTCGAATTAACACAATAATATACTACCTCCGTCCTTGAGTATTGGTCTAGTTTTAACTTTTTTCAATCAATCATTTTCAACATTTGACGCATAATTAAATAAAATATATTGTATATTAATTAGATAAAATAATATTTCCAAAATATTTCATATAATAAATCTAATAAAACTATTTTTGTATCAATATCTAATATCATTTTTATTTAATTTAAGGTCAAAGTTTACCACTTTTGACTGAAAAGAGTGAAAAGTGGACAAATACTCAAAGACGGAGGGAGTAATATTTTTTATGCACTTTTTAAATGTAAAATTTTTACACCAAGGTTTTAAAATTTTGAATCAATATTAAAACAAAAATTATTTAAATGGTTTTAGTTAAATATCATTATCAATGAATCTTGTTTTTTTGTACATAGACGGAGTATAAATATAAAAACTCAAATCAATCTTATTTTGGAGTTGTGTACCAAAAAAAAAGTTGTTTTGGAGTTTTTCGACGCACACATGGTAAAAAAAGTAGTAACAAATAATATTGGATCCTTTTAGACTGATCTCGTGACCTAAAATGAAAAAAAATAAAATTCTTGTTGAGATTATATTATTTAAAAAATTGAAAAACTTTGAGAGGTTATGCCTTCAAGCTGAAATGACAAATTTACAATGACATAAGTGTTCTTAAATACTATTCTTAAAATTTATCATCATGTTTATTCAAATGTATCTTCTATAGTTCTATTCTATATTTTTGTTCTTATTTTTTTTATTAAGACTGTCCTAATTTTTTAAGATGGAGAGAAGAATTTATCATTACTTTTGTACCATTCAATTTTATGTACTGATTTTTTTTAAAATTTATTACAGAGCCAAGAGCAAAAATAGAATGGGGCCAGTTCCTTTTTTATCTTATCTTAAAAGGGTTTGGCACTAATAGAGACTTGTAATTTTTTAACTAGACGTAACTTCGATTCTTGTCGAATCATATTTATCTACTCTGTATTTTTTATACAGAGTATTCAAATGAAGTTAAGTGTGGTGTAAACACTTTGGTCTCAATGTAAATATTTTCAAATTGTTGTAAATGAATACGTAGTATATTTTAGGATGACAAATTTACAACTATGACTTAAACTTACATCTATGAGACTATGGCTTAATATCTACTTAACACACCCTAAAACATCTATTAATCCTTCATTGTCCCTATCATTAGAGTTTTATTTACTATAGCTTTGTGCCTTTGTTAAAATAAAAATGGAAATGACCATTTATACCCTTAGGATACATTCTCAAGGGCAGTCCAGGCAAAGCTTGAAAACACACTGACAAATCATCTCAGGCATCACTAGACAGCAAATGTAATTATTAGCCAATGGTTTGAAAGGCCTCCTCATTGGCCAGTCTATTACTCCTTCCGTCCCAAATTATTTGCCACATTTGTATTCCCGAGGTAAAATATCAAGTTTTTTCAATTCATTTTATTTACATATTGGTAAAGAAATAAAAAATAAAATTTACATATAAAAAAACTACATGAAAAGTTTTTCGAAATAAGAGGTGTCAAGAATATTTTATTTTATCAAATAATCAAAGAAAATGTCGAAATAAACAAAAGTTCCCGACACTGCTGAAAAAGCAAATGTTGTGAATATTTAGGGACGGAGGGAGTAAAAAAAAGTAGTGAAGAATGAATTTTTACTGCTGGTTAAAATAAATGGGTAAATTGCAGACTATGCAAAAAGGGGTAAAATATTGGGGCATTTCAGTCTGATAAAGGTTCCTGGGAAAAGGCCAGTTTGGGAATGTCCATTAACTGCTACAGGCCTGTTTTCCCAACTCAGAGAAAGCTGAACTCCTCTGTTTCTGGTGTGTTTGGACTTTGAAGGGGAAACAGAACTGCTCAAAATCTCTTTTTTACCCCTAAGTTTCTCAAATTTTCATATGAAGCCCAACAAAGGGCAGTACTGTCATTTTGATAATAATGCATTTTATTTTTTTGTAAACTTACTGGCATCAAAGAGGATCACAAACTGATCAACATGCTTTGCCATGGTTTGGATTGCCACTTCCATTGTAAAGGCCAGCAACAGAGTGAGCCTGCACAAATTTAATCCCATTAATAATTGATTTAAAAAAAATATCTTTTGCTTTTAAAATATTTAAAATTTAAATTCAATCCTCATACATTTTCTGTGAATGGAATTTCTGGTAATCTTGTCTGAGCCTGAAAATCTGTCATATCAAACAAAATGAGTTCTTTTAATCAAGAAATTTGATGTCTAAAGAACTTCATTAATGAGATTAATCACTTCATTAATGAGATTAATCACTTCATTAATTGTACCACAACAGGTCTTGAGTTATCATCATGACCAGCAACATATGCCACTCCTTCTGCAAGTTCTGCAGAAAACTCATCGGCCATCAGACGATCTGCAAGATAAAAAACACAAATTTATCATATTTTTTTCAAAAAACACCAGAGTGGGGATTTCAAACCCAGAAATAAAAAACCAGAACATGGTTGAAAATTTCAAACTTTCTGCTTCTTGATTCTTTTCACATTAATAAAACAGAGTGGGGATTATAAACCTATTCCCAAAGACTCCCTCCATGAAAGACAGCCACGAAGAAGCTTAGAAGCTTTCTTCACACTCCCCCCTTTCGCTTCCAAGAACCTCTCCACACATCTCTTGTTGCAGAATTTTTCCTGACCACAAAAAAAACATTTCTAAGACTAAAAAAGATTCTTTTTTTTTTGAAATAACAGAGGAAAAATGTGGGATTTATCTATTGAGTACCTGTTTGAGAGACAGGGGGCTCTGTTTTCTGATGATGTCAAGAACGGCATGAACTCTCTGATCATTCTCGTTAACACTCTGATCTTTCTTGCCCATTTTTTTATATATATTTTTTTGCAGGAAACAAAAAAGAAGAAGAAGAAGAAGAAGAAGAAGAAATGAAACGGCTAGCAGATTTTGAATATCTCAAGAAAAGAGAGGAAAAGATTCGGGTTTTGATCTTATTTTTCACGCGACCATTTCAAACTAAACTCAGATCGCAAAGAAATGAAAAAAGTGATGGTTTCTAGAGAGAGAGAGAAGCAGAAAGCGTTTTCTATGGATAGAGAGAGATAATTGTGAACGGATTCTGGTACTGAGTGTATATATACGGAGGAGATATAGGTGTGACGGGAGCCTTTGAGTGGAAGGGTCAGCGGGTGAACAGAGAAAGCGGAGAAATTATGACGGCTCGAAAGCAAGGCGTGACGGAAAACGTTGTCCCGGACCCATCCACGAACTCCTTTTTTTTCCCTCTCTAAGTCCGTTTTATATATACAGAATTGATGGAAATTGGAATTGGAATTTCATTAAATTCAATTTCGTAGAATTGAATTCTGTCAATTTCAATTCATTTTTTGCACTATTAATTCCAAATTTACATAATTTTTGTGCTATCAAACACCAGAATTGGAATTGAAGTCCTCAATTCCAATTCCATAGTTTCAATTCCGTGTACCAAACGGGGCCTCCATGTTTTTAATTTTTTTTTATTTCTTTTATCTGATTCGATCGGATCTGACTTAAATAATATCTGACATGGTCCCGGCCGATCTGATAGTGATAAAAAAATCTTAGATAAGACTAAAGACGTATAAAAATATCAAAATAACAGTCCTTAATCTTTTAAAACTAAAATGGGATTATATAATGACAATGTCATGTAAGAATACGTGTTGACATTGTGATGGGAAAGTGATGATAGTATAATATATTAGTGTGATCAGTCAATCATCACTGATCTGTAGCAACATTTTGGTGGCCGGCAACGACGGATGATAGTATGGCGATGATAGTGTAAGAGTTACAATGTGACGATGTGCTGAGTGTGACAGTGTAACAATGGCAATAATGTGAACTTTAATTTTGATCTTAAACGACTTATGACTCCCATTTTGATATTTTCATAGTTCTTACTACTAGCTGGATAGATCTCTTGTAATTATAATTAAATATGTTAGTGACCTAATCTGATTTGATCTTAATCCAGTGGGAATAAGTAATAAGAGTAAGGCAAAGAGAACAAGCTCTACTCAATAGAAATAAGCTCATGTACTAACATTAGAAATTATAAATATGTAATTAATATGGACAAAGAATTAATCAGCTAAAAGCTCATTGATAGAAAATTCCCTAAAAAACTGCCACAATTTAATTTTTTTAATCAAGTTGTAGGATATTTGACTACGAATTATGAAAAAAGCATATTTAGTTATAATATAATATAAATTTAGTAGAATTAGGTTTAGTTTAAAATATAGTTTTGAAATATTAAATATTTATAATATTTAATTTTTTAAATATATACTTAGTTCATGGTTAAAATGTGCTACAATTTGACCAAAAAAACCCAATATATGGCAATCTTGCCTCTAGGGAGACTTGAACATCTTCAAGGAGAGTTTTAAAAGGATGATCCCCATATCTCAGAGTCCCTCATACTCGGTCGAACAGGAGGTAAATTGGATTTTAATCACAGATTAATAGCAGGAAGTGGAACATGCGTATTGTACTTATAGAGGTCATATGTTTAGTATATTTATCTTCTATTATAATTGTCAAGAATCGAACTCAGTCTACTTCCTTAACCTTCTATGTTGGTGGTGATCAAATAAACAACTCCAAAGTGTTTCTTGTTTAATGTTTTTTCTTTTCAACCCCTGAGGTTTAAAATGGTGCGTGTGGGAGTGGAATATTTGCATGTTGAAGAAAAAACAAATAAATGTGGGGGTGCTATCAAAAAAATAAAATAATTGTGGGGGTGGTGCCTGTGTATAGTTTGATTTTTTGAGTCTTTAAGATTGTGCCAAATAGTGTGACACTCATATGAATATAATAATCCAATCAAATATTTATCACAAGTAGAAGTTTCTTTGAACGTGGGTGTGTTTTGTTAAATCCATTTTATTTTAATTTAAAAATTAAGAAATACTACCTCCGTCCCACTGTCTTTGTCCACTTTTGACTTTTGGAACTGTTCATCTAAGCACTTTGATTCATCAAATTCTCTCAATGTGTAAGATTAAAAATAGTCATGTGTGATCTTGTTTGATTCGTCTTAACATATAGATTATCAATATATAATTTCTATAATTTTTTAATATACAAATTACAAGATAAAATGAATTAAAGAAGTGCATTGGATGGTGTGCCAAAAGGTAAATTGACAAAGACAGTGGGACGGAGGGAGTATAATTAAATTCGATTAATTTATGAGGTTTGTGTTAGAATATAAATAATTCATCCTGGGCCACAACCACAAGCTTGAACTTACTTTTGGTTGAGTTGGTTCTTTGACAATTTGTATCAAAATATTTCCTTCGTCACCTATAAATCTTCTCCGACACTATTCAATCAAATTTAACTCACTTTATTTGATTATTTTTATTACTTATTTAATAAAACAATATATTCTTGTCATACCTAGTTTTGAATAATTTTTTTGATAATTTTTTACTATATAAATTTTATTTTTAATTTTTAGACCTAAAATCAAATAAATTTAACTAAAGAAGTACAATCTTCTAAATTTATGGAGGATGGAAGAAGTACAATCTTCTAAATTTTATTTAAGTTAGAATTACAAAATAAGATTCACAAAATAGACAAATTTATTATTTGTATATTCAAAATAATTATATCATGTAAACAATCTTTGCTTTGGAACTTATTTAGAGAGGAATAGTGTAGATGATTTTCACAATTTCACCCAACAAAAGTCAACACTAGATCTGTTTGACACATTGACCTATTACATATACTCCGCACTATTTTTAGTATTTTAAACAAATAAAACTCCGTGTATGATAAAATTAAATGAATTTTAAAACACAAATCATAGGTTAATAATTGAGTTGTCAACCTTATAGTACAATAATGTGATTTAACTAAACGTTTAAAAAAATGAAACCTTTTGTTTTTTTACCTACAAATATTTTGACGGAAATTGTTGAATTGTCCAATGTACAAACTACAAAGGGAGAGAAACAAAAATAGATGTAAAGATAGGAAATAAACTAAAATAGAATTTTCATTTTTTATTTTTAAAAATCAAACTCTCATCAAGAATGTTAGTATATAATAAAAAATAATGTAAAATAGCAATATATAATGTCATATTGCACATTGCAACATTCTATATTAAGAGCAAAAAGATTACACGCACTCATATTTTGAAAAGCGTTCTACTTTTAGAGAAGAAAGATAATGTCACTCATATTTTGAAAATAAGAATAATGTTTGATTCATATTTTGAGTGATTTTTTATTTTATTATATATGTACTGCGTATAATATTTTATTATTATTACTCTCTCTCATAAAAAAGTCGTGAATTGGAACAATGATTAAAGAATTTAAAATTGTGAAGTTGAAAATGATGCAGATGAGAAAATAATTGTAAGGGTCATAATTTTTTTTTGAAATGTAGAAAGTGAAACTATTTTTAGAATGAACGTAAAAGGAAATGTAGAACCGTTTTTCTAGAATAGACCAAAAAATGAAAAAAATTTATTTTCTTTTGTTTTTCTTCTAAAATCCTTGAACCAAACATAGTGTTAGGAAATTTAATAGAGAGATACTTTTGTGTTAACTTTCAAGGAGTTCACCCATCATAGAATTGATCCAAATCCATCACACTTAACTTTGAAGTTGCTAAGTGATGAATTCTCAAAAAGAAGATGCATCTTTTTATTGGTATGAGTAGTACTGTCAATCTTTTTGAGCACTTTTCATTCTCTTCTTAACATGACTCGTATTACAACGCTATCATTAAAAACACCCACTTAGATATTGGAAGAAACTGATAAAAATTAAAAGAAAATGGAAATAACTAGAAGAACTTTAAAAAATAGTATTATTGTGGTTGTTATTATTAGTATTATTATCATTAACATTATTATTATTGTTGTTGTTATTATTATTATTATTATTAAGTTTATAACAATATATAGTTTATAAATTAGTTCAATTTTTATTTTTTCTCATATCACTATTTTGTGATTCGCACTCACTACAAGGTTTATGAGGTTGAATTGTTGTTTTTTTTGAGGGACTAGTGATCATGATTTTAATATAGATGCAAAGGTAATTGTTTATTCAAAACGGTAATAAAACCAGATGATTTCAATTCAAATTTAAAACTAAAGTAGATTATGGCTGTTTTGGAGCATGATTTCTAATATTTTGTTTATTTATAATTAGTAGAAAGGGTACATTTTTACTAATTAATCTTCTCTTTTTTGTTTTTACAAATAGGATTTGAAATTAATTACTAATAAAGGGGTGGTGGGCCGGCAGCGGGCTTCCAATAACAGCTCGCCTACTTTTAACTTTAAACTATCCAATAAGAACTGCAAATGACATGTTTTGTCCCATATTTGGATACCCATTATTGTATATGGAAATTGGAATATAACTTGTCCAACACAAGATGCAAATTTCAATAATTTGTTACAAAAAACAAACGCCTATCTAAGGGTTTGTTTGGTTAGAAAGGATGGGTGGAGAGAAATGAATAAGAGGGAATAGGAAGAGATGAAAAAGATTTTCTTTACCTTGTTTGGTTAGGACAAGAAGGAAATGTTTTGTTTTTAGTTTTGTTCTTATACTTTTTATTTTTCAATTTAAATGTTTTAACTACTAGTATTGTTTTAAAATTATTACAAGTATTTTTTTCTCTTTTTTAAGTTTAATTTAAAATTTTCTTTTAATTAAGTAAAAATTTAGGGTTTTGAAACTTTGTTTTTAGAATATAGTTATTTGTTTTTAGAATATATAGTGTTTTATAAAAATTTAATAAACATAATGGTTATTCAACGTTCCGAAGTGAAAGGTTTATAAAAATACAATACAAATAATGATTATTTAGTAGTAGAGAGTTACACTACAAATACTCCCTCCGTCCCTAGGCATCCAAGTTGGATGCCCGGGCCTCGGGTTAGGACTTCAATTCGAAGTTTAGCATAATTTTTTTATCCAGTTTCACTCTTTCGCACCCCGAATGCTAAGTTTGATTTCCCGAAAGCTCATTCAAGCATAAATTTGGTCCTTTGATGATTGATTCCTTTTTTTGCAAATATTTTAACGTGAAATAGATGAATTGAACTGATTTACTCTAGAATTCCTTTTTACAACTCTTAAAACAAGAACGATAGTTTATTCGTGGAAAACACATTTTATGAGATGATTAAGTATTATTTACATGCAATAACATTTAGAATATGAAGTAAAAGATAAGAACGAAATGGACAATTGAATTACAACAAGTTTGGAGGCAAATTAGTAATCAGTAATCACTGAGACAAAGTTTTAGCTGCATCTTATAGAGGAAAGATGTTTAAGGAAAAAAACGTCAAAAAGCCCCCTCTTATAATTAGGAAACATCCACTGTTAATGATGTTTTAGCAATACCTTAGACAGGGCTCGATCCGCCACTAGAAAGTTAGGAGTTCATAAAAATTAAAGTTGATAAAAATAATGTTTATCTAACGTAAAATGTAGTGACCGATCCAGAAATATATCTGACCGATGCACTCTTAAGGTAAAAGGTAGGACAAGTCTAGGAGTAGGGCTTCAGACTTTTTTTTAAAAGTGCAAATATGAAAAAAAAATAGATGCACAATATGAACTATTTCTATGTAGAATAAAAAAAGTAATGTGAAATAGTTTTTTTTTAAATTACGTAATAAAAAGACATTTTTAATTAAATAAACTAAGATATCTATTAAAATAGAGCATCGAAGTGTAATACCAAACTTAAAATGTAGAATCTTAGTATTTAGGTCTTTTAGATCTAGTAGGATGGGCTATTGGGTCCATTCGGTCTAATTGGTTCGGACCTAAATCATTTCGGGTTTGGATCTGACCGGATCAAAACCCGAACACCTAAATTTCCTGGACCGAAGATCGACCCAAAATCCATTTGGCCCGAGTTCGGTCTCGACCTAACGGGCCAGACCTAAACGTGAACAACCATACTTACATGGTCTCAAAGTCTACATTTTAAATGTGGACCATCTCACATTTTCATGGGCTTACATTTTGATATTTTTTCCAAAATGCTTATTTCTTTAATGCTACAAATGCACTAAGGTCCATAAAAGGAACATGTAACTTAGGTCCACGGAAGAATTTGCGGAAGTGAGCTTCCTACAGCTCATGGGTCATGCAGAAACAACCATTTTTTTATTTTGAACATATCGAGGGTGTGTACGTCACTACTTGTGGTGTTTAAGCCGTGGGACTCCTTGGAAACAATCTCTCTGCTATTAAGTAAACATATCTAGGGTCTGCGTGCACAGTACACATATCTTACCGAAACCTGATTTTTCTATGACCTAATTGAATCGTTGTTGTTATATTTGTAAAATAGTTAGAAAGTGAACAATTTATAAAAAGTTAAACAAAAAAGTGAAGGGTTTTTATAAACTAATGAAAATAATGGTAGAAATCTATTGTTTTAACGTAAAATCTATTATGCACACATGAGTACATGACATAGTGAGCATGTATGACGCAAAAAGTTTATACAAAATCAGTGATCATTAAATTTAAAAAAATGAGAAAAATTATTCCTATTACAAAAAATAAAATACTCCCTCCGTCCTATATCTTTCTTTTCGTTGCGCAAAACGAAGAAAAATCCCAAATTTTTTCAATCTATTTTATTTAAACATTGGTATAGAAATAAAAAATAAAACATACATATTTAAAAACTACATCAAAAGTTCAACAAAACAAGTGGTGACAAGAATATTTTATTTTATCTTATAGGCCATGAAAAAACACAAATAAATATAAATTTCCGTGAAGTTGGAATAGTGCTCTGGAAGAAAGTTTTAGGACGGAGAAAGTAACAAACATCAAATTGACTAATTAAGTGATGAGACATAATTATGCACATGTTATCCTTCAATCAAGGCAACTTCACTTTGCAAAGAGTAGTTCCATTTTAGGTAGAGTAATTAACATTTGCAGCATTTAGATTCAGCATTAAGTTGCACTAATCAGCCCAAAAATGAAAAAGAAAATCAGCGGAGTGCAAAAAAACCGAAGCGGTCAACAACCTCTGATTTTTTCTTGTTTCTTTATATTCGCTGGGTTTGCTTTTCTTTAGCATTTTCTTTTTTCTTTTTCTCATGTACAGTGCAACAAAAACGACAACAGAACCGAAAGCGTCTGTTCATATATATTCATTCACACCCCCTGAATCAATGCAAGCTCTGTTCCCCGCTTTCCTCTTCTCTTTGTTTCTGGCGATTCGATTGGCTCGCCGGAGGGCCGAGTCACTCACCGGAGACGGCCGGTTGATTGGCGGAACGAACCTGCTCTATGGGGAGGTAAGGATCGCTTCCATTTCTCATGCAGTGTGAAAAAAATGAATTTTTCTTTCTGGGTATTGTCAATTGTCCGGCCTCGGTTTTCTGGGCGCGTGAATCCGTGATCAGATTTGCTTCAGATCTGATAATGTTGACCCGGAGAGAGGAGAATTTGGGGGTGTGGGTGTTTTCTGGTTAGTCTTGCTGGGAAATTTGATGTTACTGTTGTTCGAAGTTAGGGTTTGGGTTTTGTGCATTGATGGAGGGAAGTGTGAGGTCAGTGGGAGTAGTGAAGAAGAGAAGCTCTTCTGGTTGTTTGATTATCAAGAAAAAAGATGATAGAGTTGGGGGCATGGGAATGGGAGGGATTCATCCTTCAGGATCTTACCCGAGGGATAGCAAGAGGGCCAGAATGGTGATGCATGATTCTGATTCTAGTGATGAGTTTCCAGAACCTGTTAGGAGGAGAGCTGGGGAGAGTTCTCATCATGGTCCAGTTATGTACAGGAGTGGAGAGATTGAGAGAAAGAGGAACGGATTAGGTGTATTTGAGTTCAATGAGACCATGAGGAATGGGTATCAAGGCGAGAGATTGGCGATGGAATTCGAGAACAGGCCTATTAGAAATGTGATGGCTGAGCAGCGGAAGCATTCATATTTTGATAGCTCGGGTTCAAGTAAGGTGTTGAGTGGCAGGCCCAGAGGTGCTTGTTATGGTGATGAAGAAGTGCATTTTCCCATCCCGTTGATGAAGCTGAAATATCAGGCAGCATCCGATGAACCGATTAGACTGCAGGGAAAAAATGGGGTCTTGAAGGTTATGGTGAATAAGATTAAGAAGATGGATTTCTTGCATAATAATGGATCCCAGAATGTTGACAATAGGAAAACTTCCATGCCTGAGCACTTCAGCGAGCCAAGAGTGCAGCAAACACTTTATGCTGATTCTAAGTCTACTGAGATGGAGAAATATGGCCTGAAATCCCAAATATCATTTGGGGAAGAATCAACATCAACTGCAGATTCAGATACAGAGGGAACTCACATGTCACATAAGTCGACCCCACCAAGCTCCTTTGCGGCTGTTAGCTCAATTAAAGGGGTAAAAGAAGAAGAAGCCAGACCCCCTGCAGTGGAAACTGCATCAGTAGTCAACAAGGAAGGAAAAGTGAAGCGTGGGGGAAGCACTGAAAAACAGCAATTGCGGGAGCGAATTAGGGGAATGCTGATTAAGGCTGGATGGACTATTGATTATAGACCAAGAAAGAACAGAGATTACCTAGATGCTGTTTATATTAGCCCCAATGGAACAGCCTATTGGTCAATAATCAAAGCCTATGATGCGTTTCAGAAACATTTGGAGGACAGTAAGAAAAAATCCGACGGGAATTCTCCACCATTTGCCCCTTTGTCAGCAGATTTAATAAATAAGCTGACAAGGCAAACTAGAAAGAAGATTGAGAAAGAAATGAAAAAGAAGAAAAAAGATGAAAGCATGAGTAGTAGAGATAGTAAGGCGATGTCATTAAAAGTGTGTGCTGAAGGAATAGATCATCACGACGAAAGACTTGATACCTATGTAAAGAAGAACTGCAAGCAAGTTAATGGAATATTTCATGCAACCAATCAAACAGACGAGTATTACAATAGCTTGAAAAGTGGCAGAAATTTAATCCCCGGAAAGAAAAGCCAAATAACTGGGAGGTGTACTCTGTTGGTTCGCAGTTCTGAGATAGGGCAACACACTGAGAATGGTGATTATGTTCCATATTCCGGGAAAAGAACCCTGTTGTCATGGATGATTGATTCTGGGACTGTTAAACTGAGTGAAAAGGTTCAATATATGAGCCGCAAAAAGTCAAGGATAAAGTTAGAAGGCTGGATCACGCGCGATGGCATCCACTGTGGTTGTTGTAGTAAGATTCTCACGGTTTCTAAGTTTGAGCTCCATGCAGGGAGTATACTGCGTCAACCATTTCAAAATATTGTTTTGGAGTCTGGAGTTTCTCTATTGCAGTGCCTTGTAAATTCATGGAATAGGCAAAAGGAGTCTGAATGCCGAGATTATTATGCTATAGGCATCGGCGATGATGATGACCCAGCTGATGATGCTTGTGGCATCTGTGGTGATGGTGGGGATCTGGTTTGTTGTGATGGCTGTCCATCAACTTTCCATCAGAGCTGTCTTGGTATAAAGGTACACATGAATCACAGTCTCTACATCTTAATATACTTATGCTCAATTGGGACAGTGATTCCTAAAGTCCTTGGTCAGAATGTTATGTAAATTTATTTCTATGAGGGTGTGTTTAGTTGGAGGGCTCAGTCCATATCTTCATATTTGTTGAGATTTTATCAAAACTAAAAGATTAAACATAATATATGACCGTATAAGAGTTCAATGACCTCTTATTCTGTTTTAGAAATGTTCTATTTATCTAGACCCATGCATTGGGAAAAACATTTCAATTAGCATTAATGTTTTGGATAATCTTTTAATGGTGCGGATTAACTTTGAAAAACACTAAAACTAAACACTGCATATTAGATAGCCTTTTCAATTCGCTGAAGTTAGACGCCGAAGCTGTTGCCAAACGGACACATTTTTCAAAAGAACCACTACTTTAACATTTTTTGCTCTACCCTGGTTTCTCAAAAGTGAACCCCCTCCCCTAAAGACAAGAAAGAAATAAAGAAAATGCCGCACTGGGATGAATGTCACATGCACTTGGCAAATTGACTACTATGTTAGCCTAACATATATGCATGGCGTGCTTCAACTCACTGCAGATGCTTCCTCTTGGCGATTGGCATTGCCCAAATTGCATATGCAAATTTTGTGGGGCTGCTGATGAAAATCCTGCAGAAGTAAATAAGGATGCTAACAAGCTTTTAATTTGCAACCTCTGTGAGAAAAAATGTAAATTACTTCACAAGCTTCTCTTCATGCATTCTCAAATACTTGGTTTTATTATGTTTCACATTGCTCTCTGTGAAATTCAAACTCCACATTTAATTTTACAGATCACAGGTCATGCAGGCAAGAGAAACATGCTTTATCCATGAATGCTAATAATTTGTCAACTTTTTGTGGCCAAGCATGCCAAGAGGTATGTACAGGTCAACAGTCGTTAGACAGGTTTGCTCATGGAAAATCATTTCTTTTGATTGTCCCTGAAACTGGTGTCATCTGGCAAGTATAAACTGTCCTCATACATCTGCTGTTCAAGTGTTTAGATGGAGGAGTTTGTAGGGGAAGGCTTTCTAGTGCTTCGTCCATATCTTGTTGATCCACACACATACACATTTAATTTTTTTTTTAATAAATTGAAACATCAATATAGTGTGTGGCTGTATAACTTTTTAATTTTCTTCTATAAGTTTTTCTAACACTATGTTTGGTTCAAGGATTTTGGAAGGAAAAGAAAAGAAAATGATTTTCTCTCATTTTCCTCACCAAAATGGGAGGAATTTGGTTTTCTCTCCACTTAGTACATTTATCTTCTCATTTTCTTTCCCTTCCACTTTTCCTCTTCAACCAAATATGAAAAACTATTTTCCAGTTTATTTTCTTTTCTTTTCCTTTTCAAATTCTTTGAACCAAACATAGTGTAAAAGATTCTACGGAGTATTTATTGTCTTCACACACTCCACACACGAAGCCCTTTAAACTCCTACCAAAACATCCCATCCAAGCAGACCCCTAGAGATTATAGCTGTTTTTTTGGCATGAAGATAACTTTAGAACCTTTGCTCCATCATAGTCTGTAATTTGTTATTGGTCTTGATCTCATTCAAGGAATTGCATTCTGAAAAACATTATAGCCTGTGTATATAACATACATAATAATCATACTTTGCAGATTTATGATCATTTACAGAAGATTCTGGGCGTCAAACACGAGTTAGAGTCAGGATTCTCATGGTCTCTTTTGCAACGAACAGAACTCGATTCTGATACCTCACATCTTTCCTTTTCCCAAAGGGTTGAATGCAACTCTAAGTTGGCTATCGTGTTGTCTGTCATGGATGAGTGTTTTATGCCCATTGTGGATCGAAGAAGTGAGATAAATATTGTTCATAATGTTGTTTATAACTGTGGGTAAGCACCTGCCTAGTAATCATTGAAAAAAAAAGGTGTAACGAATGCAATTATTTTCTTATCATCTTTTAATCCGCTTCCTTTTGGCAATTGTTACTCGTACTTTATTTTAGAGTAAATTCCATAAATGATTCCTAATTACATGTGGTTTTTCATATCTAGTCCCTGATTCTAATATATTTCATACTAATATATTTCATAAATAGTCCTCAATTTTTAAAAACTATTACATACATAGTCCTTTAGGCCATATATGAAAAAAAATATTTTTTCCACAAATAGTTTTCAAAATTTGAGGACCATTTATGTAATAATATGTTAGAAGTGAAGATTAGATATGGAAAACCACCTATTATTAGGGACCATCTATGGAATTTACTCTTTTTTTATTTTGTGTGTGAATTGGGGTTCACTTTTCTCTTCTAATTTGTTTACCCGCATGAAGTTACTTTCTAAATTATTACTCCGTTTTCACCTGCAGCTCAAATTTTAGTCGTCTCAATTATCGTGGCTTCTACACAGCAATCTTGGAAAGGGGTGATGAAATAATCTCCACAGCATGTATAAGGTATTCTAAATTATCCAATATTTGTCAATGTGACACTTAGCTACATTTTTACTCAACTATTTGGCCATGTTTGGAACATGGAATAGTAGGAAGAGAACAAAATTTTGTAAAAACAGTGAACATATTTAGATTTATTAGTCTTTTATATTAGAAATATACACTTAAACTAGTTTGAACAAACATCTTGAATTGTTTGATTGAGTTTGCAACTTTCTCGACTATCTTCCCCCAATTTTTTACCAAACATTTTTCGGATTTCAAATGAACTCTTGATGATTGAAAATAACTTGAAAGTTACTTCAAGCCGGTTCATATGTTGTTTTTTTGTGCAATTTATTGCTATGGTAATTATTAAGAACAGTAAATACTGATCACATTTTACTTGTCATCTTATTAGAATCCGTGGGACACAACTTGCAGAAATGCCATTTATTGGGACTCGCCACATGTATAGACATCAAGGGATGTGCCGGCGGCTTTTCTCAAGTATTGAGGAGGTATGCATGTTCAGCTATTATTTGTTATTGACATTAAGCCCTTGTTTGATTGGGTGATTTTTATTCAATTATTTTTAGGATGGTTTAACTACATTTACCTCCCTCAAGGTTTGGTTACATTACAAAATGACCTTTGAGGTTTCTAAAATTACAAAAAAAAAACACTTCCAAACATGGGTATCCGTGTTTCAGAGAATGAGACACACCCTTTTACACGTTAATCCAAACGGAGACTTGAGGGGATGGTACCATGCCCATGTATGCAGTTGATGCATGTTCATAGAAATTTTGGTGTCAACAAAACCTGGTTTATTGCAATGAATGACAACAACAATGCTAAATCTTATTACTCCAAAAACTTTTTCTTCATTTCTGTCAATATTATATCTCTATTGCTATAAAAATACTTGATGATTATGCGATTTTCAGGTCCTCTCCAGTCTAAGGGTAGAAAAGTTGATCATTCCTGCTGTACCTGACCACATCCATACCTGGACTATGATGTTTGGTTTCAAAAAACTTGAGGAATCAGACAAACATGAAGTGAATTCCATGAATATGTTGGTGTTTCCAGGAATTCATATGTTGCAGAAGCAGCTGGTGAAACAAGAATCTTCTGACGGTAAAGGTTTCTCCTTTAGTCGTGTTTCATTTTCAAACACGAACCCCCCCCCCCTCCCCACACACACACACACACACATTTCTGTAGTGAAACATATTTTTCCTAAAAGCAAATTTCAACTCCAACTGCAGCAGCTGCTTCTGCATTCCAATATAGAAATGGGGTTGAAGCCTTTAGATCTAACTTGGACACACCCATATCTCCAAATCTTAAACGGAGCTTAACGTTGGGCTCTTCTTCGCAAGGCATAGAAGCAAAAGCCGAGGGTGGCTTTTTTACAAGAACTGCCCCTGGTTCTGCCCTCCATCTCTCTGCTAAGTTCTGTGCTGCAGAGAAAGAGTGCAATGTCTCCCATCCCAGCAGTAAAATGTGCTTCCAACATGACCTGAATCTACAAGCTGACTTGATTTAGGATTTCCAAATTGTTGGTTTGGTTTTTCTTCTTCTTTTTCCTTCCAGTGTATATTTAATTCTGGATTTGGTTGTTCTTGGCCAGTTCTTGATGCCTCACTGAGCTGGGAAACAACAATGGCAAGCAGCCAATGACATTATTAACACAATTTTCACCACAAATATGGAACATGTTAAAACTGTAATTGATGGCTTAATGCATGTGTCAAGAGATTAATGAATCCTTGTTATAGTGTACCATTTCGTAAAGGATTTCATATCCTACCATTGTTTTGTCTTCTCGACAAAGTGCCATAATATTGAATGTGGGCCGCCAGTTCATGTGATATTGGTGTTCAATGTCATAGGATGACTCGGGACATATTGTTCAAATGAATGCTACCCCCATTTTGGGTACCAATCAAACTCATGTCATCCAAAAAAGTTAAATTCCACATGCAGTGCAATAGATTTTGCATGACAAATGGAATAAATTCATTTTGTATTAATAAATGCTATTTAGTTTTTATTTAAGTAATGTTCAAAGTTGGTTTAATTTGTTAAGAAACAATCGAGGCAACTAAAGTAAAAGATGATTTACTTTTATGATTCAACTAAAGGCTCTTATATGTCCACATTATTTTGAAATAAATTTCATTAATGGTCTCTTGAAATAAATAGATTTTCATATTTAGTTTTTAGTTTGAAGATATTACATTTGTGATCCTTAATTTTAGAAAACTATTGTGAATACATATTTAGTCATTTAGACAAAATATGAAAAAAAATCTTCACATAGTCTTCAAATGATAGATTATGGAATAATTTTTAAAAATTGAAGATCGTGAATGTAGTATCTTAGAATTCAAGACCAAATATGAAAAATCCTTTGTCACAAGGGACGATATATAGAATTACTCCTTTTTAGTATTATTAATTCTATTGCACAATTTCTAATTCGAGTATAATTAGTCTTTAATTTAAAGATATTACATTTGTGGTCCTTAATTTTAGAAAACTATAATGAGTACATAATTAGTCATTTAGACAAAATATGATAAAAAAGTTTTTACATATAGCCTTCAAATGATTAATTATGGAATAATTTTTAAAAATTGAGGATCACAAATGTAATACCTTAGAATTCAATAATGAATATGAAAATTATTCTGTTATAAAAGACTTTATACAAATTTTTTTTAGCATTATTAATTCTATTTTACAATTTATAATTTGAGGATATCCTCTCGGTTTCATTAAACGTTGGAGAGAGTAAAAAGACAAGGGTAAAAAGATAAGGGCAAATAATTCGAGGATATCCTCTTAAATTTTAATTATTAATTAAATAAAAATAAGTATAATAACAGGTACTCCGTAATTATTTATCATTAATGATTTAATTTATACTCTCTCCGTCCCATTTTAAATTGCATGTTTTGACTTTGGGACATATTTAAGGAAGGGAAAAAGTGGTGTTGATTTTTCAAAAAATCTTACTTTTTTACGGGATGGTGATGAATGAGAAGATAAAGTGGAGAGGACCGACTTATCTTAGGATAGCTAAGGTATTTTAGTATTAAAAGTTTATTATTATTAGAAACATGCAACTTTTTTTAAGACGAAGAAAAAAAAAATATGAAATTTAAAATGTGAGAAAGTGAGTATTTTTAAGGAAAATATAGTGGCCTGTGGGCTGTGGCCGGAACTAATCCCGTCGGCGGTGGCGGCTTTTTCCCTCTTTCTCTGAAACAAATGGAGCATTCCGTCTGTCGCCGCCTTCTTTTCAACTATCCCTCTTCGCCGCCACTGCAAAACTCCCGGCTTCTCCCTGAGAATCATAATCTCCGGCAACCTCCGATCGCCCATCCACCAATTTCACTGCGCAGTAAAGCACAGCCTTCGTTTTTACTGCTCCATAGCCTTTCTGCTACTAAAATGGACTCCCAGAGCCGTGTTCATTCACTCGGTAACGGCTCTGCCGGCGATTCCTCCGAATTCAGAACCGGTAAAACCTCATTTCCTCTTCCAATTTCAATTTTATGCATCGGATTAATGGAAATTATGCCTGAATTCCGCGGATTTGGAATTTTTGTGTGCGGATAGCTCGAATTGGAGAGGTGAAGAGGGTGACGAAAGAAACTAATGTGTTTGTGAAGATAAATCTGGACGGAACGGGCGTGGCTGACAACTGCACTGGAATTCCTTTTCTTGATCATATGTTGGATGTGAGTTTTCCTTGTATTTTTCGAGATGAAAGATACCATTTTTATTTTTTATTTTTGGAAAAAAATTACTCTCCTTAATGGTTGTTCTTGGTCAAATGCTCAATGTTTTGTTTGATGATTTCATGGTTAATGTAGGAAAAAGAAAAAAATTAAATATTTTGAAATGTAAATTAATATGCTTAGGTTAACAAGACTGTTTTTTTTGTTATCTTTTTATATTAGGGTTCAATAACGTTGGGCATCTCAAGTTCTCGATATTTATTCGGATAAAAATGAAGTAGTATCGATCCATGCTTAGTAGTGGATGAAAATTTTTTATATCATTGATTCATTGTGAATGCTCATCGTTCCACTATCGCGGTTCTCTTTCATTTATCTATTTCAAACACAATGCAATTTTTTGGACTCTTTTGTTTATAGCAAATTGCATCGCATGGGTTGTTTGACGTGCATGTGAAGGCCACGGGGGACATTCACATTGATGATCATCACACAAATGAAGATGTTGGACTGGCCTTTGGAACCGTAATGTTTATTGATGTGTTGCTTTATTGCACAAATGTTCATTATAAAAGATTGCCATTATAAGCATTGCAAACCTTCTGATTCAGGCTTTGTTGGAGGCACTTGGAGATAGGAAAGGAATCAATCGGTTCGGCGACTTCTCAGCTCCTCTTGATGAATCATTGATACATGTCGCATTGGTATGTCCAGAAATTCATAACCAGAGATCTTAAATTCATATGATAGCAAATAATAATGCTTCATCACCATGGGATAGCAGTTAATACGTATGGAGTACCACGTAAACATAGTAATTTTTGCATTTTTTTAAAAATTTTGATGCAGGATTTATCAGGAAGGCCATATTTAGGTTATAATTTAGAAATACCTACACAGAGAGTAGGAACATATGATACTCAGGTAGCTTATGTTGCTTTGTTTGCTCACTTGAATATGATCATTTCATTTCTCATAATCGAAAGTTGTTTGGTTAGAATGACTGTATCAATACACCAAGTATCAAACATCTCTACATCCATAGCACTTTATATAGCGTCTGTTCTTTTGGGTAATGTAATGAATTTTTAATTATTTTGAATACGGAATTTACTAGCTGGTAGAACACTTCTTCCAATCCATGGCCAACACTTCTGGAATGACACTCCATATACGACAGGTAGTTGAATCAATCCTTTGAAATTCTGTCGCATCCTGGATTTCATCTAATCGACCCCACTCGTGGGATTCTACTAGGTTTCTTGTTTTTCTTGCATTTATTCGTACCTTCGAAGTGATTCTTAAACCAATGTGATTGGAAACAGTTGGCTGGGAAAAATTCTCATCACATTATTGAGGCGACCTTCAAAGCTTTTGCAAGAGCCCTTCGACAAGCAACAGAGTATGACTCACGACGTCGTGGAAGTGTGCCAAGGTTCTCTTCCTCTTATCCGTTCTGCATTACTCTTTCTTCTTCTTGTCCATTCTGGATTACTCTTTCTTCTTCTTGCTGAAATTGAAGTTTTACTGTGCAGCTCAAAGGGGGTTCTTTCGCGCGCTTGAACTTGCTTAAGTTTGCATGAAATCTGTATGCTGCAGAACGCCGCGGGTTATTATTGCCCGCTTTTATTGTCTAAATTGTTCTTGTTTTTTTGTTATATGTTTTCTTTAAACGCGTGGTAAAAACCACAGCTTCATATTAACAACTTGTATGTTTTGCAGTGTTGAATCAAAGGAATAATTCTGTCCCACAATTAAGTAGTCAGGAAGTATATGATACTCCTAGGTTGTTTTGTTGATGTCTGATGTATAAACACCTAACAACGTTTGCTAGTTCTGTAACATTCTTTATTTTTAATTTTGTTTTTCCAGAACTTTAAAAGTTAAAACCATGTAATTGTTCAATGGATTAACATTGCATAATAAGAAAATCTTCTCTTATTTTTCCTAATATGATGCTCCATTGCCGGTTGAGTTCTCAAAATGTGTTGTCCAGTTTAGCATTGTAGTCCCCTGTTTTTAAGGCACTGTTTGGCAGCCAAAGGTGTGTATGCGTTTTTTACTTTTTTTTCTTTCTAATTAGCATATTAAGTTGCATTTGCGTTAGTCTAGTTTGGTGGAATCCCACTGGAATTAGGATGTAAATAATGTCCATCCTGTACCGATATTGAACCATTTAAATAAGAGCAATCTGTGATACGTTTTGGTAGTATTTCGGAAAATTTAGACCAAAATAATGTTTTTACAAGAAATTTCAGTCAAAGTAATGATTTTTCATTTACAGTATCTTACGTGAACGCTCATTTTGTTACAAATAATCTTCTACTTTCTTCAGATCGTTTAAGATATCGGCTTTAATATTCTCAGGAAGGGGTGCAGAAGGGCCAGCCTGCGAGTAAAAGTTGGCTAAACGTCTTATTGCTATCTCCAACATCTCGTACGATTCCTGCAATTTCCAAATCACCAAACATTGCTTAAAAGAATGTGTTTCTGAAGAAAGTTTGAAAAGCGATTGTTTTGACAACAGAATCTAAAAGCAAAAACGCCGTCTGAATGAAAACCAACTGTTTTTTTAGGACAGATGGAGTAAAGCTTTTTTTTACCTCGTGGACAACGGTTTTCTCTCCTCTCCACCCACCCAGGAATCCTCTAATCGACTCCCTTGCAGCATCGGCCGTCCTCCTGAACTTGGACATGTCATTGGGATCCTCCCTTAAGGATTCGCGCAGTGTCCTAACCACTTCTTTCACTGACTTCAAGTAGGCCTTCGGCAAGACTTTCCCGGATTTGGTTCTCTCTTTTGAGTCGAACAATGACTTGAATGCCCCAATGACACCCCCTTTATCTTGTGCCTTTGATTCTTCTTCTCCAGCCCAAGCTGGTGACAAACCAAAGCTGCAACTGTTTAGTGCTATGAACCATACAATTGGGGTTCTACTACATCCTAAAAGAAGCTGGCGACGGGATTTCCCTTCCCCAGAGAACAAAACATGATGCCTTGGTTTCAGTGTATCTGTTACAACATGAATAAAGAAGAAGAAGACTTTGAAGAAAAAAATATTGAATATCTGAAAAAATGAAAATGAGAGAAGAAACACCATCACAAGCTACCCGAAAATGCTTTTTTACATAAGAGTGTTTGAACAATTGAGCCTTGATCAAACCCATTATCAGAAGTTCGGAACAGTCTTTAGGACTCGATCAAGAATTAATTGCCATAACCAAAATTAGAAGCAAAATAATCAACTCCAGAGTTCAGATGAATGTGTTTCAACATGTTTCCAAGAGAAGTGTGATTTTGATTGTCCACGGTTTCTTATAATTTTCCATATTATATAAAGAGTATTTGGTTTTTAACCATATAGAAAGTTATGATAGCCATATAAAAATATGTGCGCGTTTGATAGAGCTAATTTTGGAGCTTAAAACACAATTTAAACTCCAAAAAACCTATTTGTCGTATTTGGCAAACAGAACAGGTGTTTATAATAAGCTATTATAGGAGAAGCTATCATCTATAGCAGTTCAGAACGAAATAAACTCCCAACTTATCATATTTTTCCGCTAATAACTTCACTTTTTTTACACATATTACACTCCTTTCCTGCCTTTTAAACTGTCTTTCTACATGAAGAGATCAACTATGGATAATCTTACCAAGAACTTCAAAACCAATAAAAGCTTTCAACTTCCAGCTCAAAGCTACAAAATTTTCAGCTTTCAGCTCATAGCTACAAAATTTTCGGTTTTCAGGCCAAACTGACCCAAAGAAGAACAGTGCCACTAAGGCAAGACTAGTTACTTACCGTCAGTGGCATTTTTACACTTGTTAGCAGAGCTGAAAACATAAAAGGGGGGCATCTTTATCTTGACAGGTAGGAAGAAAGCCATCCCGCAAAAGTATCTCAGCTCAAACTACCCCACAGAGAAAGGGAATAATGTACCTATACACGAACACATTAGTTTTCTCACACACAAACGCACAAAGAAGGAAAAAATGATGTCTTTAGCAACATTCTTAGGCTCTGTATTGGCAGCGAAATAAGCAGAATAAGGGCCATTCAGCAAGTGTGAAATTAATAAATGCTCTGATCTTTTATTGAAAGGATTGCAAAAATGATTTCAGCCATACAAGAAGAAGCTCATAGACTATGGGCTTGTTTGGAACCTACAGTTTCAGCTGATTTGGGAAATTTATGATGTTTTGAGCTGTAAATGGAGTAATGCACAATTGGATCAAACAAAAATAAAAACTTCTTTTTGACGGGGAGACTTTGTGTTCTGTCTCAAAAAGATCCCAGAGTTGGGATTTATATCAGGTTGTTGTTGTAATTTTTTTTCAAAAATATTACCAAGTGATATCTTCATGCTTCAGTTCCACACTCAATTTCAAATACAGTTTTTGGCACAAGAAATGTGAAAGATATTTGGAGTATGGCCCTTACCTTGGCCAAGGTATTTCCTAAAAGCTCCAAATTCTAATGATTATACCATTAGAGTCTCTCATGCTATTTTTCTATTAGAGCTTTCTCTTTCTGATCCCGGTATCATTTTCACAAGGACATCCAAGTCATCTCTACTCACTAAATGTTTAATTGGTCACATTTTGATAAGGAAATGGAGCAAGAGAAAGATGATGGACTACTTAGCTCAGATTTTCCAAAGGCTAAGATTTCACTGTTTCTTTGTGTTTCACACTAAAGCCAATTTTCATTTCCTTGCATGGTAAGGAATTGTCACTGCTGCTCTGGCTATAAGGAGAAATTTGCTGAACTCCTATGACATGAAAACTTTCCTTCATGTAAATATGAAAGTTCTTGGTGAACAAGACTTTGTTTGGGAACATTGTTTCTGGTTGGCGTTAGCATTTTGAGAATTTTTTAATGGGGCAGATTAACTTTGAAAGTGCTTATGTTAAACACTATTGTTGGATAAGACGCTGAAGCTACAAAACAACAACCCTGTTGAATCCCACAAGAGTAGGGTAGCGTCTGGGGAGGGTGTGTTCACGCAGAGCTTACCCCTACTCGAAAGTAGGGAGGCTATTCCAAAGAGACTCCCGGCTCACGTCGAAAGTTGCATTGGTTGACTAACAACTACTTCATTAATTAAAGAAGAGTAGACAGTTTAGAGATCCATTTTGCTTTATTCCATCACACTCCAAAGACGCTGAAGCTAATGCCAAACAAAGCCTGAAACAATTTTATCAAATTCTTGGCTAATAAGCCTAATAAAACATGATGGGTTTCAGCACTCTTGCCCCATGACCCTAGCGCCAACCTCACCATCACTTTCGGGTACCCATTTCGCGTGGGCTCCGACCCTTATCAATTGTGTGGCCTTAAGCGGTATGGACTTAAATACAAACAATAATCATGAAACGGGCGAGATATATTGGGCGTAACTTGCTATACACATTTGGCTCAGTCCCAATATACCCATCAAACTACTAATTAAAGGCAATTAGGTAACTATATACCCTACAAAAAAAGCCATGTGAGTGAGGGGATAATGCTCAACTCCCATCTTTCCTTTGGATCTTTCTTGTTTAATCTTAACAAGATCGAAAGGAAAAACATTCAAGCACCAAAAATTTCAATTAAAGAAAAAAAGTTTATCATACAGAGAAATAGAATCAGAAGAGATTTTTCTTTGTTTTTTTTGCTTTAGATTGAGTGATTATATAAGGAAAAATCTAATAACCCAACATTTAATACGAGAAATTGGATAAACTAAGCTCTTCTTTAAATTAAATAAAGAGCAACAATATATAGATTAATTTAAGGAGAAGACGAAGAAGAAAGAAACTGACTGGCCTCAGCTTTCCCTCACATACAGCCTCTTCCCAGCACCGAACACAAAAAAAAATTTAAAAAAAAAAAAAAAAAACCTCTAAGGGACCAGAATGTCAATTTCAGGAAGAGTACTATATAGGATAATATGGTAGTTGGATTGAAATTTTTGAAAATGGCTGGAGTAACTTTTACTTTGTAGTACGGAGTATTTGTTTGCATATACGAGAAATGTTATATTCCCTATATTTTAGTCTAATTGGAATAATTATTTGACACAAAGAAGTTTGGTGGTGTGAAGTATACATTTCATTAAGTTTGTTATGATAAAAGTTCCGTTCTTACGAGGTTACAAAGGGGCGTTGCCCCCGAGCAGGATTTAAGGGACATAGTCCCTTGCTAATTATTTATTTTAGACAAAGTGTTGTGTTAAACATACACTTGAATTTTTAATTTTCGGAATTTGATTAAGGGTTTTTCTGAAAATACGTGTCTCCTAAAAATCGTGCAATTAGACGCGAGTTTTAGATGAGAGACGCGACCCCGCATCTCTTCCTTCCTTCCGCGGCTATATGAATCAGGCAAATCCTTGGTCCCAGAGAGCAGTTCGAAAAATTCAGATCAACTTATACCTTTTCTTGTCAAAATTTTAAGTTTTATCCGATTGATTTTTGGATTGAACACCCAAAATAATCAATCTAAAAGTACTACACGAATCTCATGATTAATCTGTGTTATCTTCGATTTCCCCAACAAGAAATAACTTTTTTTTTTATTATCACAAATGATTTATCTCTTCTCTATTACAGTGTTTCGATAACTTTTATTTGTTTTTGTATTTGCATTGATTATTTGATAAAATAAAATATTCTTGTCACCTCTTGTTTTGTATAATTTTTAATGTATTCCCTCCATCCTAATTTAAATTGCTTGTTTTGGTTTACGATGTTTGAGTTATTTTCAAATTATTTTATACTCCGTATAAAAACTGGTGTAGAATTAAATAAATAAAATAGACATTTTTAAAAACTAAATCAAAAGATCTACAAAATTAATAGTGATGTGACTATATTGTTTTATCAAATAACTAACAAAAATAGAAAAAGATGGGAAATGAAGTTTGACTTGCTTGGATCATGAATATTTCCAAAAATGGGCTAATGCCTAATTATTTTTCTATTTTATGGTCAATTAGGTTCGATGGGCTGATGATTAAGACATACTATTGACTTTATATAAAATTTCGGGCCTCAAAAATTTATTGTGGGCTTCTATGTATTTTCGGCCCATTGGAGAGGCAAAGTGGTTTTGAATGAAAGAGACTGTAAGAGTAACCTAGGGTTTCTTCTATTAAAACCTTCCGTCCCCAAATCTCATCTCTTTCCAGTGAAACCCTCGGCGCGCGGCGGCTCCCAAAGATCAGAGAAAAGAGGGGCGGGCAAATCAATCTGCAGCCATGGTGAGTTACTAGTTCATCGTTGATTGATGAGATTCGTGTTTTTGTCTTCTGCGAAACCCTAATCCCTTTCTTCTATGATTCGATTCGCCGTTGTCTGCTCGCGCGCAGAGTCTGGTCGCCAGCGAAGATTTCCAGCACATTTTGCGTATTCAGAACACCAACGTCGATGGCAAGCAGAAGATCATGTTCGCTCTCACTTCCATCAAAGGTATCGGCCGCAGATTCGCCAACATCTGCTGCAAGAAGGCTGATATCGACATGAACAAAAGGTCTCACCTTTCTCTTTAACCCTTCACATTTTTGAATTTTGTTTCCGCTGTGTTTATTCAATCTTCATTTCAATTTTCTGATCTGCCCGACAGCTAAAATGCTACTTCCGTCACTAAGTATATACTACGTATATTCCATGTCTTTGATAATCCTTTTCTTGGGCTAATCTTGTTTTTCACTCGGAATGGTACTATTAGAACTCACCATAGGACTTCTAGATTCTAGTTCATAGATCATCCTGGTAAAATTACACTAGAATTCAACATCAGGACATTATTGGTTTGAAACATCAAAATTAACCCAATTAAGTATTTTTAAACTAGTAAAAATGTAATTTGTGTGATAATTAAGGAAACGATATTGGAGAGTTTCACTCATTCTGATATCTGTAATTCTGAGAGTTTGGCTAAATTTGTGTATCATGGTGAATGGGTTGTTGATGCAGGGCTGGAGAACTCACCGCTACTGAGATTGAAAACTTGATGACAGTTGTCACAAACCCTCGCCAGTTCAAGATCCCAGACTGGTTTCTTAACAGGCAGAAGGATTACAAGGATGGCAGCTATTCGCAGGTGGTCTCCAATGCATTGGACATGAAACTCAGGGATGATCTTGAACGTTTGAAGAAAATCAGGTAATAATTCATGCTCTTTCATCATGAATGGATCGTCCATGTAATAAAATACTTTTTCCCTTTTTCAGTTTTGTAGAATAAAATTGTGGAGTACACTAATCTTCTATCACAATTTCATGTTTTATTCCAATTGTTTTGTTACATGAAATATCAAACATAGACACTTAAATTTGAGAGGGGGGGATACCTCCCAACCAAATTTTTTAATAGTGATATATATGTAGGCTGTTTTGGGAGCACCAATTTTGACTAGTTTTAGTATTCTGGATATTCTGTAACGGTGAAGATTAACTTCAAAAATGATGTGAAAAGCTGAAGCATTTCCCATGTGGGATGGATCAAATGAATTACTATTGTTTTGAGTATCGCATTCAATGGAATCTCCATAACTAATTACCTCCCCCCCACACACACACATTTCAGAATGTTTTCTTTGTTTTTTTTCTCTGTGTAACTTGTTTATGAAAATAATGAATGATAGGAACCACCGTGGTCTAAGACACTATTGGGGTCTCCGTGTACGCGGGCAGCACACCAAGACAACTGGACGCAGGGGAAAGACAGTTGGTGTCTCCAAGAAGCGTTAGTGATTTCAATTTTGCTGCACTCAAGGCTGTCTTTTTGTCATCATGTTGTTTTTTTATGTTTTGGATTCCTATACAATGATTCGTGGTCTTTGCATGGACTACTGCTTGTTCCTTAAGTATGGGCTTTTAAGGGCTTCGACTTAGGAAGACTTGTGGTTATCTTTGTTTGCAGTTATATGAACTTGAGTATTTTTGACTTCTAAAATCCTCTGTTAATGGTTTCTATGTTTGTGATCAGTTGGGGTTCGGAATTTCATCTCTTTATTATCAAAGGCCCACAAATTTCTAACTTTTGGACTATTTTCCTTCTGCATAAATATGGCTCTTATAGACTTGAGTGAACATTATAGAACTTTGAGGTGAATCAAGGAACTTTGCAATACTCTGAATACAATGACACTTTGTTAACAAGTGTGTCACCTAAGGTTCCCATTTGTATATTATCAATCTTTCAACGGTACAATTTTTTATGTAAATTACACACGTGGAGAGTAGACCAAAAATGTAGATTGGAACTAAATGGATATACAAGAACAAGATGGATGAAGATGGAAATGTTATCAAGAACAAGACCTTATCATATGAGGCTTGTTACTCTAGGGTAAAGTTGTAGGAGTTGGCTTAGAGGAATGAGGATATACATGTGCTCTCATAAAATGTTTGGAGTCGACACGCTAGTTGATTTGTAGGGCTCGTGCTCTAAGCTTCCAAGGCACTAAAGGATGGAAGATGAAAAACCTTTCTAAATAATCATAGTGCCAATGGGATGATATAAGAGCACTCTTTGATATGGTGAAGAAAATGAAGGATGTTTGACATGTGAATAGGGATGTAAACAAATCAAATATTTTAAATTCGATTCACGATTTGTATTCGAATATGATGATTCGAATTCGTGTTATTCAAATACAAATTCAAATTCAAATATTATTTTTTGATTCGAATATTAATCAAATACAAATACAAATAGGGGTATATTCGATTCGGATGGTATTCGAATATTCGAATATATGTATATATACACAGACCATGTTTTCAACATCAAAAGTCAAGCAAAGTAATATAGTATAAAGTGTATTTAAAATACTAAGAATTCAATAAATTAACGTAACACGAAAATCTAAAGCATATGATTTTTAATAGTTATATTTTATAGAATATAATTTGTGTAAGATGCAGATGTATTAATGTTTTTATATATGGAATATAGTATAGTATCGTAAGTTAAATTACAAATTGATGTTGGTCCATCATATAAATTACATAGTATGATTATTCAAATATTCGTTTATGATTCGATAATTATTCGAATATTAATCAAATACTTATTCAAATCTTATTTTGAATTCGTCTCATATTCGGATTCGGATTCGTATTCGAAAAAATTAAACAAATACAAATTCAAATATATCGGTATTCGCTTCGATTCGGTTCGTTTACACCCCTACATGTGAATAATGTCTATCCATTATTTAATCTTGGAACGAAGGGAATAATAAATTATATGACCAGAATATATGCTCAAATTGAGCTTGGGTGATAATCTTGGTCCTAACACACTTTACTAATAGTGCAAAAAACAAACAAAAAAATATTTTTTTAATATTGGAAATATTTAAAATTACAATCAGAAACATAGTTGGTGCCACTTTGGGACGACTAGAACAAAATTCTCCTATCCCATAATAAAAGTTCTACTCCTTCCCCAAAGCGCTTCACACATATTTTATTGGACATTTTGATAACTTGTTTCTTTGTATGTTTTCATTAGTTATTTAATAAAGTAAAATATTTTTGTTATATCTTTTTTTGTATGTGTAGAACATTTAGTGTAGTTTTTAAATATGAAATTTGTACTTTCTCTATACTTATTTATAGGCAAATAATTTTTAAAAAAGATGAGATTTTACATGTTCAAGCTTCAAACATTGTAAATGAATTTGGAATGGAGGGAGTATTTTCTTACTTCAGATAACTACCTTACCAAAATGTCATATTACTCTTATGTTTTCCTAATTTTATCTATCTTTTAAATCACTTTTTTACCCGCCTTTTTCTTATTTCAACCACTTTAAATTTGTTTCTCTTACTTTTTTTCATCTTTTTATTCACTTTTTACACTTTCTCTTATTTCAATCATTGTTAAGGGCAAATTGAGAAAGTCAATACATTTTTCAATTTTCCCTCAAAAACTTTAAAGCCAAAATGAGATTTTAGTTATTGAATTCACACAAAATAAGAGTAAAACATATCCATTGTCTTCAAAATATGAGTGACAGCATTTTATCTCCAAAATAAAAATTTATACTGTGACTAAATGGCACTGTATATTGGCATTCTACTATGTTTTTAAGTATTATATATTGATATTATTACTATTGTAACTCTTATTTTATAAATATAAAGATAAATATCATATTCTGGTTTTTTCTATGCTTTATTCCAATATTGTTCTTTCTCCATTTTAGTTAAGGGAGTGTATAGAGTGAGAACAAATGGGGAATAGTTCCTACCGAGCCTCGGAAGACCGAGAAGAGTTGAATGAGAAGAATGACGTGGAGAGGGGCCTATATTAGCCCAAAATTAGACTAGGGTGACCAATTTCTCCAAGTGACCTATTTTGGCAATGTTATATTTAAACTTATTTTGGGTGTCTTATAATGACAACGCACAATTGAAGCTTCTATGATGCTCTATTTGCAAATTTGATAGTTCCTACTTCGTAATGGCAAAGAAGCACAAATGCACAATAGAAGGAAGAGATTACTAAGGGCAACTCCAACGCATATGTCATATGCTAAAATATAGATGGTATACCTTTTAATGTTGTTAAAAGAAAGCTCCAACGCACCCTCCAAAAAATGAATTATCCTCTATAATTGCTTTTTCATCCTTCAATTATAAAAGGTAATGTGTGGTCTTCTATATTTTTTGAGCTTTGCTTCTGAGATCTGTGCACGGTGAAGATGGAAGCAAAAGTGAAGTCCGAGTTTGATGCCTGTACTCTCGCGGCACTCTTCCCAGCTGATTCCCTAGGTTGCCACTTGCCATCATCATCTTGATTTGTTTGTTTTCTTGCAAATTTTTGGTGTTTTGGAATCGCCTCAAGCAGATTATCCAACATCTGAACTTCTTTTTCCGTGGGGTTGCAATTCAATGCTGAATTTGAAGAAATATGTTCAAATTTCTCACTGTTAAGATTTAAACTAATAAAGTATTTTAAAAAATATTATAAAAATGTAAAAAGTAGATGATATGATTGGAGAGGTGGTGAAAAAATGGAGTGCTAAATCACTGTTCCGAAGCTAAAATAGCATTTAGCTTCCCAAAATTTAGAGTATCCCTTAGCTTAGAGATGCTCTAAAGCCAGTAAGAGCAAAGTTGCTCAATAAACGAGTGTACAAACTTCATAGCGTAGCGTACCTGTAAAAAGAACGGAAAAGCACATTTAGAGGGTAACAAACCCTATCTCATGTTTATAAGATATAGAAAGATTTATGATCATTTTAAATTAGTACTCATTAGAGATGAGTAATTACATACGACGACTTTTGAGACTCATGCATAAGAATGAATAGACTAATAGACTATCGACTTTAAAACAACACTTCATTGTTTGGCTTCTAATACATGAGAGATTACGGACTACGAAAAGACATATCAAGTTCCTTCAAATCAACAAGCAAAGATTGCTTTGTGAATGTGGAGAGGAAGATTCAACCAATTTGTTTTGGGATTGTATCTACTTCAGAAATGTGTATAACAGTATTATGATATCATTGAGATGCAAGATACAAGTAGATTTCCTGAAAGAGTATCGTGATGAGCTGCAAAAAGAGGGAAGTAGAAGGAAGAGGTCGATATAGAATGTTGCATGTGCTACAATCTATTATGTTGTTTGGAAATCAAGAAACAAAAAGGTGCACTTGAAGGAGACAATGAAGGAGGAATGCATAAACTATGTCTCGTTCACTATCAGTTGTTATTTTAGTAGTGAGATGGAGCATATAAGAAATAGATGACTTGAGGTTTGATATGATTGTAGTATTGGTATACTGTTTTATGTTTTTATGACTTGGTTTTTTGGTGTTGGTACTAGGGATGACAATTCAACCCGAACCCGAGCTTATCCGACCCGACCGACCACTAAAATATTCGAACCCAAACCGAGAATAAAATAATTTGAACCCGACCTGAATTTTTTTACCCGAACCCGATATCGGGTCGGGTCGAGTGTGTGTTTATTAATTTACCCGACCCGACCCGCACCCGCAGCCGACCTGACTCAAACCCAAATATTTTATAACATAAAGCTTATCTATGGACATAATGAGCACTCCGTATAATCTCTTGACAAAGTGCTACTGTATCAAGTATGCCTTTTATAATTATTTTTATAATTCCTTAATAATAAAAATGAGACACAAAAAAAATTAGATGTAATCTTTTTAAAATTATTGGGGTACGCAAAATCTATTATTGGTTAAAAATTGGGTTCGGGTTTCTGGTTGGAATGTCGAATCCGGGTCGGGTTCGGGTTTCTGCTTTAAAAAGTCGGGTTTCGGATCGGGTTTGGGTTTTGGTTTTAAAAGTCGGAACGGATTCGAATATAGTACTATCCAACCCGAACTCGATCCGTTGTCATCCCTAGTTGGTACGAGAATTTTAGTATCAGAATTCAGAAGTTACTCATATCTTTCCCAAATACCGAACAACGGCTCCAGATGATTTAATTTTTTTCAATGCTTTTTTGGTTTAAGTTTGATTTTTTTTGTACCATGCTCGGAGTACACCAAAAAGTGTACCTCAAATTTTACCCCAAAGAGATGCACCAACATTTTATCGATTCACACTGGCACAAAATGCTAGTTCAAAAAAAAATTACACTGATTTTTTGTGTCAATGTAAAGCATCATACTAACATAAAATATTCATGCATTTCTTCAGAATAAAAAAATGAGATACAATTTTTGATATACAACTACCTTAATTTGTTTTTTCAAAAGTTTGGGTATCGGATTCTGATTAGTAGTTGCTGGCCCCAGCCCTGGGATTGTGCGGGAGATTCACGGCGAGAACCCCATAAATAAAAGACCAATAAAAATGCATTCTTTCCATTTTCTGACCTAATTCAACCATTAACTTGTTTAATTTCTCATCAATCTTCTTCTTCTTCTTCGCTTCAACCTTCCAAGTATATAATTCTTGCAATCACATGCTCTCTCTGTACTAAAGCTCCCTGTTGGCCCGTCTCCTGAGATTTTCAAATTCCAGAGATCTGAGCGATGGCAGGAGGGAACCCTTCAAAGCCTCCACCTTCCTCCTCAGCCAATCCACAGCAACAGCAACCGCCGCCAGCCAATCCCGGAAAGCACCGCCAACCCAAGGATTCCAAACCCTCCGGTTCCGGTTTAGCCGATAGTAAACCAAAGCCTTCTCCCAAACCCGGTAAAGAAACCGCGCCTTCGACGGCGAATGCAAATAAACCGCCGACCCCTAAGACCAGATCCATTTTCCGTCCGCCGAATCCTGACCTAGAAAGCCGATCTGCTTTGCCTCCGTTTCCCTTCAAGGACCCTCCCCCTCCTCCTACATATGGGTTTCATATGCTCGATCGGAGAACCATCGCGCTTGCAGATGGTTCGGCCAGGCCTTACTACGCTTTGCCTTCTAATTATCAGGATTTCCCACAGTTCCCTCCTAGGGATATCCGTAGCTCAGGGTTAGGGTTTGATAGACAGTTTCCAATGAGCCCGGATTTCCGACCGGAGTTCCGGAACCGGGAGAATCCGTTAATGTGGAACAGGAATCCGGACTCTTGGAATTCGGTAGGGTTAGATGGGCCGGGTAGTGGCCCCGTGGTCGGTCCTGGTGTGTATGACAATCCAATGAAGAGAAAATTAGGGGAAGACCCTAGGGAAGTCCATGGTCTGCTTGAGAGGCAAAGGCCCCAGCTTTTGCAGCATGGCAATACGAGCAACTCTCAGGGGATTAGTGATTTGAATAGGAGAGATTTAGTGGAAACTAGGCCTGCCAAGTATATGAGATCTATTGAGGCTAATGTAGGTCCCCTTAAGCATCACAGTGTTGATCAAAACGCCTTAAAGAAGGCATTTTTGCACCATGTTAAGGTTCTTTATGAAAACACAAACCAGAAGGGCCGGTATTTGGCGGATGGGAAGCAAGGTCGTCTTCAGTGTGCAGTCTGTGGCAGGTTTGGATATAATTTAATTAGGACTAAGCTCTTCTTCGGTAGTTGTTGTTTGGTTACTTTTGAGACCCTATCTTTGTTTCTCTTTTCCATTTAGATGGAATCAATTTTACACATTCAACACAGAACCTAATTGCATATTGAAACAGTGTAGTGCTAGTGTTGTTTTGGAGCATTGCTATGCTTCTGCTGTTACATTAATAGCTGCATAACCTATGTGACTAAAATAATGGTATGGCATATAGAATACTTTCTGTCCGTAAAATGGGTCATGTTTCAAAAATCCTTTTTTGTCCCAAAAACAGTCTAGTTTTAAAAGCCAACTCGAAGTTTAAGAAAACCTTCAGCATGTCGCTGTGGTTAGCAGTCGTAGTCCATTACTTTAAACGATCATGTATAAATGTATAAGTTTTAGGGTTTAATTGACCATCCATAACTTAAAAGCTTGATTTAGTTGCCTTAACATAAAAATGTATCCTTTACTCAAACTTTTCCAACTTTTTGGGTGGCCCTTTTTTGGAGGATGGAGGTTGTATTTCAAAAGGGGGAAGGGTAACAGGGCTTGCTTTAATTTAGAGATGGAGCAAGTCCTAATTTAGGGTGGAAGGCTAATAGTACACAGCATTGGTATAGATCTGTCATACTCTTCCCTCTATAGCTTACTGGCCTGTTTTTAGTCACATTCTCAAATTCATTCCTGTCTTATTTTTATTTGTATAATTGTGCATGAATATAATTATGCAGGGATCATAATGTTAGAGCATGTGACCCTTAGAGTTCCATGATGTAATCTTTTTTTTTCACATGCTTGCTGTTGCAAATTTAAAGCGTGAAGCAATGTTTCTGATATTGTCTAGTTGCGTAGATAGGGTTTCTGGCATGTGAAATTTGCATTAAATAGGACTAAAACATAATGACTTTCCTAATGTAGGACTTAAACTTTTTTATTCCATAAATAAGACTTAATAATGACCTAGTAGAAGGAATAATGTCCAGCAATGATGCACATTTAGTTGAATAATGACTTCGTGATAATGACCAAAGGTCCTACATCGGGAAATAAAAACATATGGTCCTATATTGGACAAGTCATTATGTTTTAGTCCTATTTAGGTAAATTTCTCTTCTGGCATATATATTTTACCAGAAAGACAGAAATGCATAATGAATTAGCTCAGATCATAACTTTCTTTAATATGGAAGAAATGTTATTTATCTAGGATTTTCTGAATGTGTTACTTCAAGTATTCATAACGGTGACAATCAAAACCTCACATTTTCTGAATAAGAATATAGAATAAGAGTTCAATAGTTGATCCCCGTGGAAAATGGTCTTCATCCAATCTGCTTGGTGGCATTGGTGCTTAAGAAAATGTCCTCTCTCTTTGTTTCTTTTTTCAATGGAAACTTTGTAAGTCCACTTATTGGTTCATTGTACTTCTGTGCAATAATTATTGGTCTCTCCACTGTTTTTTTCACTTGTAAGCATGTTGGAGAGATAGCCAGCAGGTATGCATATGAGTATTCTCATATTCTTTTTCTATCTAGATATTATTGATTGATTCCCTGAATAATTTAGTTCAGGGCATCTTTTATTGTTCCAGAACTTGTTACTGTTAGGAATTGATGAAATAGTTGTCCTTCCATCTTTATGAACTTCGAACTAAGCATTCTTATGACTACTGTATTTGAACTTGTTTGGTTCTAATACTTCTTGTGATTTGTTACTCGTAGTTTAGTGTTTTATGAAATTCTAGAGCTTTCTTTTCATTCTTTATTCCTCAAAAGTTTATTATGAGAATTTCTTAGCTATGGTGGTTTCAATACTTCCATTCATGAAAGACAATAATGGCAAGTCCTTGTTCAAAGGATTTTGGGTCTTGTGTAGTTCATACTTCACATATGCACATGTGTACTCTATATGTGTTCTTTTGCAGGCTTTCACATGAAAAGTTATTGAACATTCTGTGAATTTATTTTGATTTTCTGCATACACACACCCTTCCTAGTCCCTACATTTGTGGGATTTTACTGGGTTGTCTGCTTCATAGTTAACGTGCGTACATGCTAGTAGCAACATATTATTATCAGTATATTGTGTATGCGTTTAAACAGTGGGTACAGTAAGTAGTGTCCGCATATCTGTCTGATACAGAAATGCCGATGCGGCAGAGTGCTGCCACTTCAATCAAATTTACCATCTTAACATCGAGTCTAAGTATTTAATTATAATATTTTCCAAACCACTTCGTTTATGTACTCCCTTTGTCCTGTAAAAATTTCCTTGTTTGACTTTCAGGGAGTTATAGAAAAGTGTTGGAAAGTAAAAACTTTTTGGTTAGAATTTGATTAGAGAGGGGACAGTTGCGAGCCACTCGTTCCTTTCTTTGAAAAGAAAGTGAAGTTTTCAAAGGAATGAGTGAACGAGGGGAGTAGTTCATAGTTTTCAAAGGTGCCCTTGCTTCATTAGGTCACCGAGGGCAGTCTTTGAACCTTTGCCATTTTACCAATATATTGTTTATGTGTTTATTTCCTTATCTTTGTAAATCTGGGCTACATAGGCCTCAGTGTGCTTTGCTTCTCACTAACAATGATATTGATTAGTTAATATCATTCTTCTTGATTTGTTAAAAAGTTACGCTTTTCTGAAATACTATATATGTAAAATGCAGTGCTTCCAAAGATTTCCCTGACACGCATAGCCTGATTATGCACGCGTACGATTCAAACAGTGCTAATTCAACCGTGGATCATTTGGGCTATCAGAAGGCGTTGTGCGTTTTGATGGGATGGAACTATTTGATTCCTCCGGATAATTCAAAGTCATACCAGATGTTATCTCCGGACGAAGCGTATGCTAACCAGAATGACTTGATCATGTGGCCCCCACTGGTGATAATCCATAACACAATGACAGGGAAGCGTTCTGACGGGCGCACTGAGGGTTTGGGTAATAAAGCAATGGATAGTTACCTTAGAGGTATGCCCCACTCTGTGTTCTATCTTGCTATTCATCAACTGACATAACCCATGGTCCAAATACCATATATACATATTACTAATAATGCTACAAAATAAAACACCATATATGAATAATAATAATATTATCTTCATCCCAAATTAGCTTTCTCAGTTTGGCTTAAAAAGTGTTGATAAGGAGAAGCGTCGGCTGTGAACAGCCACACACGCTTACACCAGTAGCAGACATCCCTCATAATTAGTTGTGCTGATGAATGAAATGGTGGGATCATAAAAAGGGTATTTTAGTGAAGAGAATTATCTGAGTTTAAAAAAAAGAACGAAAGCAGGTGTACAGATGGAATGTTTTCACCTTCCAAGATATGCGAGTTCTTGATTTCTCCCATGCCCACATCTTTGTGCTTACAGATATTGGTTTTCACGGGGGGAAGTCAAAAGCATTGTATAGCAGAGAAGGTCATATGGGAGTTACTGTTGTGAAGTTTTCCGGCGATGAGGCCGGTTTGAAGGAGGCTGTGAGACTGGCAGAATACTTTCTCAGAGACAACCGTGGGCAGAATGGGTGGGCCCGCGTGCACCCGTTTACTAGTTCGGGTGGGAAGGAGGAAGAAAACAATCCGGACCTTGTGAGGATTGATCCGCGGACAAGGGAGAAGCGGAGAGTGTTCTATGGGTATCTGGCAACCGTTTCCGACATGGAAAAGGTTGATTTCGAGACCAGGAAGAAGGTTTCTGTTGAGAGCAGAAGAGAGTTCCAGTCTTCTTCCTGATAACATAAAAAACCACCATTAATGGTAACTCTTCTTCTAGCTAGGTTTTATCTCCATTTGCTTCCATCTCTTTGTGTCTTAAAAAGTTTCACTTGATCCAGAGCTTGCCTTTTCCATGTTGCATAAACATATTTGATGATCTTTTAATGGGACATACCCATGATTGAACTCTTAGGGTAATATGGTTTACATAATGTAAGATTAAACTGCTTGGTTAATGCTCTAGTAGAGAAGGGATGAACCCCATCTCTAGGGTACCCTATGACTAGCTGTCGAACCGGACAGTTACCTGAGAAGAGGTACATTGTTGTTCATGCTCTAGGATATTGTTACTTGTGTCTTTGAAATGTTAGGGTCAAAGTTGGAATAGTCTAAAATATTACTACCAAGGTAATATTATAATACCCAATGGGTCCAAAGTAATCACATTACCTGCAATGTTACTTGTGGGTAATGTCAATTGTAGTGGGACAAGATCTCACATTATATTTTCTCATCTCCAAAGGATTGGGAGTGAGTGTTTGTTTGATATTTTTCATTTCCAAGGGGTGTGGATGCCTCTTTTTGTAGTGTTGGGCATATTAACACAACTAGCTTTGGGCTTGGTCTCGGGCTTGCGCTCATCCAATAGATTAGGACCCATAGCTCGGGCTCAGGCTTTTTGTATTAGTTATAGATTAGGACTACCAATCGGTGGTAGCTTTGCAGGTGTCATGTGAGTTTGATTCGAGTTGAATCCCGTTACGCCTCACGTTTGGGTTTGTTTTGGGTTACCAATAGGTAGATATGTAGGTTTCATGTGTGCTTTAGTGTTTGAAAAATGAGGATTATCATATTGAAATCCTTTTGTTGTCACTTTAGCTTTTTCTTTATTGTCATTTGTGTGTGTTTATTTACTCGGGCATTTGAATCTTGCAAAGCTTGCATGGTAACGTAGTGCTTGTTTCTGATTTGATCTAATTCCAATAAGAACAAGTAATTAAGTTAAAAAAATAAGTTGAAGAGAACAAGTTATTCGTGCCTGGTTGAGTGTGTAAATCTTTGGCTTCTGTTTGTAGTGTTTTAAAAAGGTTACTTGTTGATAATTTTTAGCCTTGATGTTTTCAAAATTAAATTGTACCAAAAAAAATCATCTAAAATTCTAACTGAAAATGTTGTTTTCAAACAAGGTCATGGGGTGTTAGTTTAGTTTAATTTTTTATTCAAAATTTTGTTCATCAAGTAGAAAAGAGTTCTATTGCATGTCAATGTAAAAATAATTTCATTAGGTTTGTCTTACAAAACAACTTCCGATATTACTTTGTTTTATTACGGAGTAATATGCAATTTTTTTATATATTTTTTTTATATTTGATGGTTAAGTTTGTCTAATTTTTATTGGAAGAAGACATTGGATATAATATTATTGGCACAATTTTTTACACTAGCATTGGTCTTCTCACTGAAATTTAAGAGAAATCATTTTCGTATTTTTACATTAATTTTTTTGAAAAAAAAATTGTGCCAATATTCCAGGAAGTTTGAAATTTCACAAGAATACTTGAAAATTATGTAATTATCGCCAATGATTTTAGAAATTTTAAGAGAATTTTTTTAGTATGCAATTATGCATGATTCTTTTTTTCATTTTTAAGGTGGAGACCGCCAGAGAGGAAATGTCATTTTATACTTTAACCAGAGGCCAACCATGTGACCAGTCAGACCACCAATACTTTTACCTGCCAATTCCATTCATGTCCGCTTCCCCAGTACTCTACATCTTTCATTACTTTAATCATTCCGTTCTTTTCCATTAATCTGCAATCAAAGTTAATTTATTTTTCTGCAAGAATTATTCAGTCGGGTCTGAGACAGCCCTCGAGAATAGAGCTCATCATTTTTCTTTTATTCCTTTCATGAGTTTTGATGGTGTAAATTATCGACCGGTATATCGTTTTTAGCCGGACAAAAATGATAAACTAGTCTTAAAGATACACCAAAGTATAAAAATAGGGATTTTGACGTGGAAACCCAAATCGGGAGAAAACCATGAGCCTTTTTTGGCGGTACCTTGCCAACGGGGGATTTTTATTAATATTGGGAGTTGTACATGGTACATGATTTAGGCTATGAAGCCATTAATGGTGGAGCTAGAAGCTCTTGAAAAAGAAGAAGAAAAATATGTATACTCTAACAACTTTCTAGAGAGAGAAATAATATATGACAGGGGAGAGAGAGGAGAGAGGCCTCCTCTTCTTGGTGGAATACCTCTCTTTTTCTAGAAGGGAGGGGGAGCATCTTCGAAGGAATATTCTCTTATTCCTTCATTTTACGAAAAAGGTTCGATTTGATTATTCTTCGTAAATAATTGGGAAATGTGGGCCGAGTCACGTATTATTTCTCATCAAGTTTCATCCATTCATTTAGCAGAGCTGGTTATACTTACCCTTTTTCATAATTGTGGTTTTTTAAATCATGTGTAAAGTTTTATATTTTTTAAAATGGTCTTATGTATAAATTAGTATAGTAATAAAAAGTGCCCTTCTAAAAAAGAATGGGATAGTGCACTATTTAAAAATTACGAGAGTTTTTGTTTTATTCTTATATTTTCATTATTTGATAAAATAAAATATTTTTGTCACGTCATGTTTTGAAGAACGTTTGATGTAATTTTTAAGTATGTAATTTTTTTTACTTCTATCAGTTTTATGCCAGTTATTTATTAAATAAATTCAAAAAATTTAAAATTTTACTTCGTTTTGTGTAATGTTGCAAATCCACTGGAGAAGAGGAGTACAACCTAAGCATTTAAGAATTGCATGAAAATTTTATTAAACATTTAGTGACATGTCTATTTTATTTTATCAAACGATCAATGGAAAATGCGCTTCAGCGCAAAAAAGAAAATGTGGAATAAAAAAATAAGAAATCAAAATAAAAGAAAAAAGAATAGAAAAAAGAAATGAAAAGAAGAAAAATATATGTTTTTTTGTATAAAATGGAAAATAAATTCATGAATGAAGTCTTGTTGGTATTGTTCCAAAAAAGTCCTTTCTCTAAATATTTTGGCCCAATAGATTCAAAGAAAATGAAGACTTTTCTTTTTACCAAAAAATAATATATAATTTGAGAAAAATGAAGTATATGATAATTTTTTTATTTCATTGTTTTTATTTCAAACATGAAAAAATTGGTTTTTTTTAAAACATTATACTAAGTGTAATAAAAAAAACTTAAAAAAACATTTATGAAAACAAGAGAAAGAAAAATAGAACAAATGAGCATTGATGTCTATTTAGAAAACTGCAAGGGGGCATTGAAATTATTCATCTTAACATATGAAGGATATTTTAGTTAAGAATGTGCATTGACGTAGAAATACTAGAACAGGAGGGGGCGAGGGGCAAAGACGTATGCTTTGAAAGTAGGAGGTAATAATGCACATTTGCCAAACCACAAAGGATATTATTGCATTAAACACTACACAATGGATTTAGTCATATAGATTTCCCGATGTATTTGGTGAATATCTTGTATTTGCTAATTTAAAAAGGTAAATTTTACACAAATACTTCTAGATTTGGTCAATTATTTACTCTCGAACTCACTTTTGCACACTAATACTTTGAGAAATCATTAGATATTACATTGTTATTACAACCCAATTGAATCAGCTTCACATTTAATTACGTGGAATATTTTAGCTAACATAACTTCTGAAATGATGAGTTGGTGAGACATCTAAATGAATTCTATTAAATTGAATACTATTTTGAGCTTAAATGTATAGCTTATTAAAGAACACTAATTGAACTCGGTGAAACAACGTCCTTTTCGTGTAGGAGAAGACAAGTCTATCGAAGCTCTCAGATCGAGTTGCTTTCACGCTGGAGAAAAAATGAAAAAGAGGATGATTTCACCAGGTTCAATTGTCATTTCTTTATTAAGTTACTCAAAAAAGACCAAATGTCTTCGAATTTAATTCTATGGAGTAGTGCTATAGATGTGATGTTAGTCAACATAATTTCACTAATTAAGTCCAAAGCAGGCTCATCTGGCCAAAGTAGCAATGTAAAATTTAATGATTTTTTAGAGTATTGACGTGTAAAAGAAACCACGAAGTGATATCGTATAATCAACAAAATTTGGGAGTGTTAATATAAATTTTTTCATCTGGTTAAATATGTGCATAAACAAACAAGTACTTAGCAATATGGAGTAGCTTTTAGTGTTTAGATTTTAATTGGTAAAATCCCAAATTGATCTTTTTTGTTGAAGTGTTTTTTTAAATTAGTCTTTAATATGTTCTAATTACCTACATGGTACTTTAAAATTGAAATTTGTTCCCTAAATAATACTCCGTATTTTGTAATAAATAGTGATTAATTAGAGAATATTTTGGTATTTCCATTATCATAATTTAAAGTAAATTTTTAAGTTGGCCATCTCTATATAATTTTATATAAAAATAAAACAATCATTGACTATACATCCATGAATGATTTAAATTTTTTTAAAAAATATTTTAAAATTTGAATCAAATACATCTCCTTAATTAGAAAAGATCATTTTAGAAAAACACTTCATTAGAAATGATAAATTTGAATACTTACTCTGAGTTTATATGATAAAAAATACCAAAAAAGCTTTCACTTAATTGACATTTAAGTGAAATTTTTTAAAATTTAAATACCTTTCACTTCATTGGAAAATATTTTACGCCCAACCAAACACACCATAAGCAATGTAATGGGATGATTCAAAAATAATGAAGTGTCTCGTTCATAAAATTAATAATTCCTACATTCACTAATTTTTCAGTCAATCCTTTATCTAGCCCTCAACACGAACGCACCCCTTCAATTACACTAGACATTTTTAAACCAAAGATTGTATTAAATTAATGGAATGATGAAATCAGAGGGTAAATGAACTCATTCACCCAAGCTCTGAGAAGAATGAGAAGCTAGCGCCAACACATGCGTTGCCTCATTAGCAGAGCGATACACAAACTGAAAGTAAAAAACTCCCCTACATAAGACAATAAGGGTTTTACAATCATCATTAATTGAAGAGAAATAAGACCAATCTTGTAATGAATTATTGAGTCAATCTGCAACGTCTTTACAATCTATTTCAACCTCCACGTGCGCTCGATTTAATCCAACTAAGAGCTTCTTTTACCAACAATGCATCTGCTTCCATTGGACCACAATTACATCTAATGGTCATATTCTTTGC